GGCTGTCCACAGGCTATAGCAAGGAGAGGGCACTATGGAGCTTTTCTACAGGATGAGTGGGATCTTATCTACACCATGGGTAGGTATTGGTGTTATTTGTCAATTTTATGTAAATGGTTATATTTCGTTTAGCTTTGATATTGTTTGGTTCTCAAGCAAACTACCTAGATTTACAATCAAAGCTTTCTCTAGAGAGCTGTCCAGCCATCATTTGAATGGTCATTGGCCTCAAAAGCCAGCCTATATTTTCAAAGACAGATGGGTGGCTTACAAAATTTTTGGAAAATGAAGGGTTGAGGACTTGACTTGCTTGGGTTGGACTCCCTGTAAATTGATGTTGAAATTACAGATTCACATGTTGGATTTCCTGTACCAACTCCCCCTCCCTCCCTCCCCCCTCCCCCCCCCAAAAAAAAAAAATTTTTTTTTTTTTTTACAATGCTCTAATTTGAAATAATTTTGTATTATTGATTTAGATTCAATTACCATAAATGCAGTTATATACAATTTGGTGAAAATGTTTTTTTTTTCAGTAAACTTGTGTCATCAAAAGCTGAAAGTACCCATAACCTGCAAAATCAGAGTATTTGAGGATATTGGAAAAACAGTGAAATATGCACAGATGATTGAGAGTGCTGGCTGCCAGGTAACCATGACTGTTCTGTAATGCCAGCTTTTTATTTAACTTTCATTGAAAGTTTTGTATATTTATAATGATAAACTTAATATATTTATGACTAAAACCTAGATTGTCAAGTTTTGTGACAACAGTGCTCTGTATATGGTATGATTCCCCATGCTATTGTTATACATTGGAAGATAGGCATCTGTATATTTACTTTAGTGAAAGTATGACAATTTATATTATTGTGTTACATTGAAGGGCAAGATGTTTGAGTGCTCTGTATATAGTGCTATAATTTTTTTTGTTTTATTTTTCAGTTGCTGACAGTTCATGGACGCACAAGAGAACAGAAGGGTATGGCCACTGGCTTGGCCAGCTGGGAACACATCAAGGCTGTCAAGTTAGTAATTATGTCAGAAAATAAAACAAATTATGTCCTGTGTTGTCCAAGAATATTAGTGCATCTATGCGATAATTTTGATTAAATCCACAAGAAATAAGTTGCCATTGCATAATACTTGTGGAAAAGACTGGATTGTTTTTGGATTCTCTTTATTAGATTCTTGCAGTTTCCTTTCAGACTGATGCTTATTTATTATTTTTTTGCTAACTCCACATTTTAGGCAGAAGTTGAAAATCCCAGTGTTTGCCAATGGCAACATCCAGTACATGAGTGATGTGGAAAGATGTATGGAGGAGGCTGGAGTTGATGGAGTCATGTCTGCTGGTAAGAACCTATAGACAGTTTCATAACTATCTCATCATTTCTTATTATAAGTACTTATTTTATGATGAATACCTGGTGATTATTGTACGAAGCTCAGGCCATAATTTCTTGAAATATAGTAGGAAAATTTAAGATGAAATCAACAAAAATCTTCTTTTTTTTTTGGCTTATTGGAAACAATAAAGTTGGGTATTTGACATTTTGGGTGATATTTTAATACATTTTGTGTCACCATCTTACTATAGAGTTATTCTTATAGAAAAATCTGATATAGTCTACTGTGCTAACTTGGCCATCCTGTAACAGAAGGGTGGGTGTTAATGTTAATATGTACCAGTTAGTAAAATCTTGGAATAAAAGTAATATAATTTTTTACTTTTTAGAGGGCAACCTTCACAACCCAGCTTTATTCCATGGTATCAGTCCACCAATCTGGAAAATGGCAGAAGAATACTTAGATCTTGTAGACAAATATCCATGCCCATTATCGTATATCAGAGGTCATCTCTTCAAGCTATGCCATCATTTGTGAGTACTTAAATACATATAAAAGCTAGACAGTAAAGGTGGCAAATGCACTCTTAACAGAAAAAAAGTAATTCCCATTCCACTATTTTAATATTAATCGGCACATTTTAGTAGACAACAAGTATTAACAAGTGTTTAGCCATTCTGGTTCAAGTGAAGCCTCTGAAGCTGAAAAATGACTTACTTTTTCCCCTCTTCTGTTCAAAGGATATACTTGGGAGGTTTTCATCCTTTTCTTTTACTGTTTTTATAGTTTGTGTGTTCACACAGATATAAGAGAAGTATTAGGAAATGCTAAACAGCTTGATGAAGTAAAACGGAGCGTTCAGATGGTCAAAGAAAGGTGCAAAGTAAGTAACAGATGATGTTAAGATCAAACCTTTTTTTAGATATGTAATCATATTATTTTTATAATCACTTGAAAACTTGATCATACAATAACAATGTCAAATTGATTTTTTTTACCAGTGCATCTTTTAAAAAATTGATAATATTACAGACAATTTATTCCTACATTTTTTGGTTTACACATTTGTAATTTTGTTAACACTACTTATATATTAATGATTTTTTTTATCATAGTTGGAAGCTGATAATGAAACTTCGGATTCATCTAATTCAAAAAGTGATTTGCCACTGCCATATTGGTTATGCCAGCCTTATGTGAGACCAAGGTAAAAGAAAAAGCAGTGCCTGCAATCCCTTTACATTGTGTGATAATGAATTAATGTAATGATAGCTAGTAGTAGGAGTTTCTGTAACCGTATAGTTTAATACTGAAATATAAGAAAATATTTGTTTGCTAAATTTGTATAATTCAAAGGCATGTAACAAATTTGTTTGTAAAAGTCTTGATTTTGAATGTAGTAATTATTTACATAAGAAATTAACAACTACTGTAAATATCAGAAGACATATTTATATTCTTATTTTTGACTCACAGCCCTAAGGTTGAAACAGGAATTCAGGAAAGCAAGCCAAGAGAATCCAAAAAACGTCCACTGGAAGACCTTTTAGAAAATGTAGAGGATGCCCATTTGTTGTCAAGGAACCAACTAAAAAAGTTGCTAAGAAACCCAAGTAAGAACTTCCAAGTAAAAAGGCAGTTTGAATCATGTGGACTGTGTCCTAACCCGATGGTAAGTGAAGTCACCAGCATAACTTTTCTTCATGAACTCAACTGTCACTATTTAAATTATCAAAGTATACTTTGGTTTAAGGAATTTAAGTAATAATTATTAATAATTTCCACATCTTACAGTTGTTAATTTTCATGGACAATAAAGAAGATGGGTTCTCTTTACCATTGTCTTATAATACTTATCTTTATTCATCAGTTTAATATTTCCCCCTTTTAACATCTTTAGGGACTGAAGTGCTTATTCAGCATGTGTAGGCAGTGCTGTAAAGCAAAGACTAAAGCAGAGACACTCGACTGCCCAGGTATAGTCTCTCTTAAATGTAGTTCTGTTGCTATGGAAGCACATGTATGGAAAATGCATAGCATTAAGCTACATGTACATAGAGCTTTTTTTTCTTTTCCCACTGAGATATTTCATTTCTGTAAAAGTCGGTTTTAATAGAAAAAAAATTAGTCATTTTCCTATCCAAAAGTTCAACAGGTTCCAAACATATTGTGATAAATGTCCAATACTGAAAGTCAGTTTTTATGTATAGATAATACCTACTTATTGATGTGCATGTGTAATGTCTGTCAGAGTTGTTTGATCTGACAGTTACTTTGAAAAAGTGCTTTTATTTGTAATTGATATTGTTATCACAGTAAAATTTTACTGATTTTATGAAGCAGATTGATACCCTCAATATTTGGATAATAATACTTATTTCTATGTGTCAGTAAATTTTTTTTTGCTTTTTGATTTTTTTAAGGTCACAAATTCATGAGAAAAACAAAGGAGATGGAAAGATTAAAGAAGAATCCTGACAGTAAAACTTGTAAACAAACTAAAACAATTAGCGGAGAACATTCTCATAATACCGTGACTGAGATGCATATACATGATAAAGGCAGTCAAGGTGACTCCTTGGAAAGTGCAAATAACAAGACTGAGGGGGCTTCTTTAGTCAATTCTATGGAGGACCCTAAATTGAACTTAGAATCACACTGTGACTAATCAAATAGAACAATCCAATTGGTTTTTACAATTTTAGTGCACTACAGAAAAAGATCTACTCATTATTTTAACTAAAAGAGCAGGAACATTTTTTATGAAATTTCAGATGGATGGTTGAAAGCAACAATACTGATTATTAGAACGTAAACATATTTATTTTTAGAAAATGGTGTTTTTCACATCCAACATTTTGTATATTTTACTTTATATTGAATTTTAACCATGCCTCAAAAATAAAATATTCAAACATAACTATAACGTACAGCATTGTCTGTTTTTGTAAACAGTAATTGATTACATTGTTCTAGTTGACTTAGTTTTCCAGTAATCATAAATCCCATTATCAAGGGCAAATTTTGCTACATCAGCAGCCCCAGCTGGAGTGAAACCAATCAAAGCTCTTCCCACAGTCTCTACTCCAAATATGGCTGCCCTGGCCTTGACCTTCTTTTCTATGACTTCTGGGGAAACATATTTGTACTGTCCAAACATGCATAGCTCTTGGTCAGGTAACAGTTGATGCCCACCTAATGTTTTGCAATTGTCTTTTACCTCAGAGAAATTTTTCTCGTCAGACCTGTGTGAACAGATCTCTTTGATCTGGTCACATTCATGACTGAAACTCGCCACATTACATGCAATTTCCACTCTGCCTTCGTGAAGAAATGCCATTGACTGCACTCCAGGAAGTCCATCCGGGTTGACAGCTCTCAAACTTTGAGCAATCTGTTTTCCTAGTGTAAGGTCCTGTGTGTCAATTGTCACATTGCAGTTCATAACATAAGGATGAGCACCAATACCTGAAACAAACAAGCAACACGTATGCATACAAACAAATAAATGCACACTTACTCATATTAACATGATCATAAACTATGATTTTGTCTAAATAAATATACAACAAGAGAACTGCAAATATTTACAAACACAATTTTGTGAGTGTACTAATCACATATAATAGTTTTGTTTGGGCAAACCAAACTTTTTTGGGGAACCTGAATTACCTACAAAATCCATGGTACTCAAGTTTGCTTGGAAAATCAAAGTTTTAAAAACCTGTTAATCCATATCTTGCCCCTGGTTTTGCTCCTACATCCTGTATGCCTGAATTCCCTACCAAAGTCTTATGCCCCGCAAACCACCTGACGTCTTTTCTTCTTTGAACAAGACCCCTGCATGCTTGGTGTGACCAACCAAATAGGAAAAAAGAAGTGCCAGGGATTTTACTAGACAACTTCTCAGCTAAATCTTAAAAAAGAAAAAAAAAAGAGTAATAGGTGCCCGTTGATATTTTTTTTAATTTTCTAAATGTTATAATTTTTGAAATTATGTTTCTTGCCAAAAATACAGATAATAACTTCATGGCTGTGCACTGAATTTATGGTATATTAGATTTAAAACAAGTTGAATGAGCACTCTCAACTTTAAATTGTGACAACAATAGATGTCAGAAAATTGTAACAATAATTATTGTAGACCTAAAAATAAAGGATTTGAAATAAAACATACATATAATCATAATGTAAAATGAAGGCAAGAAGAAGTACATTAATACATTGGCTAGTAGCTCTTTCAAAATTGTTTTGTTTTCACCTTTAGCCTCCTTGCCACACTCTTCCAGTGTGATGTCTGGTGAGAGGGGGTGAATGGGAACTAAATCAACAGAGCCCAGGCATGGATGAACACCCTCATGCTGTCTCAAGTCTATCAAATCAAATGCCTTTTCACAAGCAGCAAAGACACTCTGACCTAAAACAATCAATGTATGAAAAAGGGGAGACATAATTTTGTACTGAATTGGTGTAAAACTGAATATGAGTGTGTCCCGTTGCAAAACATTTATATATAGTTATATAGATACACGTTACATTCAATTACTACTGTAGCAAAGTGAAATGTTCTACACACTTTACTCATTTTCCCCAGCAGAAAATATCACTATTACAGTCTTATAATAAAAAGGAATAACTGGGCAAAGACAAAATGCATGTATATATTTATGCATGCATTGTTTTAGGTTGACTTGTGCAATTAATACCTTTTTATTGATATATAGAAACCAATAAACAATCTTAGTATTATTTGTTTAGGGTTATTTTATTAATCATTTACAAAACATTTTACACTTTTCAAAACAACTTTACCTATATGAGATATAGAAGCAGCAATAGTAATTACTGTTCTATTATAGTCATAGTCTGAGAATACATTAAGGACTGCAGCACAATGCTCTAGAAAATAATAAAAAAAAAAACACTGCAATTATCACTGTTACAGTAACACATTGTTAGTATACAGTATAACAATCATGCGTGTTCTAGTGGCATTTTAATTAACATCTTCTGTCTAATATATGTGATAATCAACATAAACAGTATCAAAAAATTTATATAAATAATAGTTATAATGCATGATTTTTTGTGCTAGGTGCAAAATACTAGTATATGCTTTAATTTAATTATCACACATCAAGTAAAAACAGGTACGCCTACCAAATTAATTATCATTGTTCCCTGATTAACAAGAACATGTTTTTTTTGTGCTAACAGTTGATATCAGATACAGCATATACACGTTGTAGCACGAAATCCATGCGTTAACATTTTTGATATGTACAGTACAATGTACAGTATCCAGTACGCTGTGTTAACCCACAGATTTTCGTGCTGGGTAATCCTTAGTTATGTATCCTTTGCCTGTACATAGCCCTTACGTTTGCTTGTCTTGTTATTCACTTCTAAAGCTGCATAAGCTATTTTCTCTATAATATGCACGTTTCGTGCTTCAGATACATTCAGTAAGCATGCACAGAGCTTGCTGGTCATGTCTTACACCGATCCACACAAATACGGAAGTGTCGCAGTAGATTTAAGAAATAGTTTTTCATATTTTTTGCTATATCTAAGTAGATCTTGTCACTCAAACGTTGATATTGCTACAATTTGAATTAAAACTCATGCGACTTGGTCTTTACTCTTATATCTAGGTTTTTTGCTAATGTCGAAAAAAGAACGGTACTTGCAAAAGTACCCATTGAAGATAGGACAACAATTGACGGCAATTCTGTCAAATCATTTTTTTACTCGGTCAATTTTACTGCACATGTTTTGGCTGCGAAAAGAGAGATGGAGGGATACCCAGTGAAGGTGTATATTTATGATATCTCCAAAGGTCTAGCCAGATCCATGTCTTATGGTTTCTTAGGTGAGTATAGATTGATTTCCCAGTCCGAGCCGATGGATCGTTTCACTGATCTTCACTCACGCTTGCCTGTCACCATGATTGGCAAACGAACGCATAAACCACAGTAAACTCAGTAAACTTATCAACAATTAAAAACAACGACATCAAAATCGGTTACTGTGTGTGTTTTGAACGAATTTCCTAAAATCGCTACGTGCCCTAAACTCCGTCTACAGTATGTGCCTCTCATCAATTTTCAGTTCTGGTGAGTAATGCAAAAATCCATAAATCCAACACACTTTTGAGAAACTGGAAAGTTTGACACCACTTCAGAAAAAGAAAATGTGTTCCGAATTAATAATACAGTTTCAAGCCACTGATGAGTTCTGTCCTGGCAGTAATACAACCAATATATATATATATATATATATATATATATATATATATATATATATATATATATATATATATATATATATATATATATATATTTGTTCTTTTGAAAAATTTAGGAAGGCAAATAGATGGTATCTGGCATACTGGTATTGTTGTTTATGGTGAAGAGTACTTCTTTGGAGGGATGGGAGGCATCGAATCATGTCCACCGGTAAGTAACCAACATGATAATTGTCTGGTTCTACTGCAGTATGGTAGTAAACCTAAGTCATGTTCAAATGTCTAAAATTGCTAAGGTTTAACTTGTTTTGATAACAGGGCACAGATAACAAGTTAACAAGACGCCCCCGGCAGTGACAGTGGTTTAGCACTGGTTGTGATCAAGCATATATGTATGATTAGGTCAAAGTGACAGTACATGTAGTGATGAACATGTGTGGAATTTTAATACTAAAACTTTCAAAATAAATGAATAAATGAATAGATAAAATAATACTGATAATATATAATGAAATCTGTTAGCTATCTTTGCCAAGTTTTGCTGCCACTCTAGCTGTTTATTAACATTTATTGATTTCAATTTCATGTTACAGTGTGGAACAGTATTGGGACCACCAGATCAAATTTATGACCTAGGAGCAACACAAATCCCCAAAGAAGTTTTCATGGAATATTTAAGAGAACTTTCTAATACAACATTTAGGTATACAAAAAAACATTGTGCCATGCACATATTTAGCAGTTTTGTTGATGTGACTTGTAAATAGATAACCATAAATACCATTTCATAGTATTTGCAGTCTTTGTATGATAATAATGAAACAATGGTCTACACACAAATATTTGTACAATACATCGTACATTGCTGGACATATTGCTTTTGACGTAGATCTGGTCCTTTTTTCTCTTTCACAACATAATGCCTTCTCTACAAAACTTTTTACCACATCTGTTTTTACATATTCACTTCTTGACTATGTGAATTTACTGTCAAAATGTAGTTCAATGGCTTATTTTCTGTCTCTTTTAATTGAGACATATTTTATGGAGCAGAGGATATGTGCTAGATGTACAATGAAAAAACTCCAGCACATTTGTAAGTGACAATTAGTTTTTATAACCAATTCTTTTTTTAATTACTGAAATAATTTGAAAAGAGATTACATATTGAATGGTTGGTGCATGAACTTGTTATTCCTTCTGTGGTGAAGAGATATCAAAGAAGAATTACTTCACATTTGAATAAGTACAGAATTGCCAAATGTACAGTGTATGCATGTTTGAATAAAACCCCATATGTTAAAATTATCGTTTCAGGGGTGAATGTTATCACTTGCTAGACCACAACTGTAACACATTTAGTAATGAAATAGCACAGTTTCTAACTGGGAACTCCATTCCTTCAAAGATTACGAGCTTGCCTGCAGATGTTTTAAGCACGTGAGCACATATATTTTTATTCATGCACATTTCTTTAAACTCATTAATATTGCTTTCATACTAGTTACTGATAAATAAATGTTGTTGGGATAGATTTATGATTTTCTAATTATCATTTTTGAAATAACCTCATTGTTTGATTAGCATATTCTTTATCATGCATTTCACTCTTTTTACACATACCTTTCGGATGTTACAGACCCTTTGGTGCCATGATCAGACCATTCATAGATGCTATGTCAGTGTCCCCAGGAGGGCATTCTGTATTTCCCCAGCAGACCCAGGGAGCATCACCTGCTGCTGCAACCTCACAGGTATCAGTCTTATAAGCTGATTTTAATATGTTTGGTGATGATGAATGATTATATATTCATCATTTAATGAAAACTGGGTAATTCTTTTCAGGCAAGTACATATTTTTGGCATAGGGATGCTCCTCATATCTGATATTTTATTGAATGACAGAGAACCCTGACATTTTAAACAATGTTTTTTTAGCTAATTGATGAAAGGAAATGTGTTTTTTTTCATCTGTCTTAATTGCATTTTATTTTCAAGAGACCAAGTAAAACTTTATAAGCATTTGGCAAAGATTTTACATTTTGGATGGAATACATTGCCAATATTTTGGAGCACCTTTGTTAATTTTTCCAACCTTTTTACCATTAATTTCAATCTTCGTAATTTTTCCAGCCATCCTCTGCTAAGAAAGAAGTAGAAAAGACACCTAAGGCTGCTTCAGAAAAATCTAAAAGTTCAGCAGAAGACTATGATCTGTTACCAGTTGTTTACAAAGAGAGCAAAGTATGGAGTTTTTAAATTAAACTTTGATATATACAGCTCATGAATAAGAAATGGAAACATAAAGCAACTGTCTTTTAAGAACCATTATTACAAAGTATAGGAGTTAAACCCACCTTTCATTTCAGTTCACAGGCAAATAAAATGCTTTGGTATAGGCCTATGTGTATTGAAAATACACAAATTGATGCTTTTTTATAATTGTATTTACAAATTATCCATTCATACACCCATACATTTCAGTAACAGTTGAAATAAAAACATGAAAATCTTTAAATCTGTATTGATATTTTCCTTAATGTCTAATTTTCTGCAGTTTTTTTTTTCAAACCTCTTCAAGGTAGATTGATATTTATTACTCTCATTTCTTAATCTTATGTACCGGTAGGTTTTAAATGGTTCAAGGTGGCAGACAGTTTTGGAGGACAGAGTGACAAAACATGAACTTGACACAATAAATGAAGTTCATGAGTTTTTATCAGCATCCAACCCACAGTGGGCATTAGGGAGAAATCACATGGATGCTTTGTGTAAGACTAAAGGTTTTTGTTGTTTATCTCTTCCAAGCTATGTTTTTGCCCTTTTGGTTTGTGATTTAACAGCCTAACTAAGAATATTATGGTCAGATTTTGATAAATTTTTCTGGTCAGGTCAGAAATGGGCTAACTGAGAATCAAATAGATTTTGGTGGGGATAAATAAATAAATAAATAAATAAATAAATAAATAAATAAATAAATAAATAAATAAATAATGAGAACTGTGCTGCCTTTGCAGAAGTGTTTTCTGAGTGTTGTACTTGTATTACTTATTTCCCTTTCGACAAAAAATGATACTTAATATAATATATTGAAAAAACTCCAGTGCATGTGTAAATGACATGAGTAGTTTTTATAACCAATCCTTTTTTTTAATTACTGAAACAATTTGGAAAGAGGTTACATAATCAACAAGTTGTTCATTACTAACATAGGTATACATATTCCTCTGAAACCTGAGTGTCAGTTTATGTCATGTTGAAACATGCATTGCCCACATATCACATTTGAAAGAAAGTGTGTCTAGCAATAAAACATTATTATATATAATTAGTTATTTCTTTACCCCATCGTTTTGTATGTCTCAGGTAAAATCATCAACAAAGAAGAAGTTCCAGAAGAAGTTCATGTCATGATGTACCAACTTTTACAACTTGCTGTGTTAAATGAGGAGTTTGTGAACATGATGGCACACTACAACAATCACCCCATGATGAAGCTGGCATCTTCTCACGAGGGTATGAGTAAACAAATTCTCTCAGAGGTTGGAAAGCTGGTAAGTATTGCATTCAATATAGTGTCATTCCACAGTTATTTCCTCTTTTGCGACATATTTCCCCATCGAAATACTTCTTTTTAAAAGGCAAGAACAATTTGCAGTTTTTCTTCAGTTAATAATAATAATAATTTATTGAGCATTAAAATGTGTACAGTTACATTTTACAAGCTCTCTAAACTACAATTTTACATAAATTGTGCACATACGCTTAAATAAGTATAACTACTTTAGATCATTCAATTACCAAAATACATATAAGCTAACTACTTCGTACATATAGCTCACAATAGTAAGATCGGATGAATATTTTGGATATTTAGTCTCCAAATACAAAAAGTCACTCAAACTGCATTTTAGCTCACAAACTGCAGCAGTACTAGAAATGGGTCTAGTTATATCCTTAGCACTGAGCATCATCCTTTGGGATCCCCTTTGTCAAACTGTAAAATAACAAGTCAGACCTGTGCAGCCTGCTTACTTCATGAGGATAGGGACATCCAAGGAGTTGGAGCAGCTCTGGCATCAAACTTGGCTAAACATTCTGTGAGAATATATATTTGCCTGTCCTTGCATAATTGGCGCATAGAGTAATTATAGAACACACTTACTAAACAGTTAGAAATAAAATTCTTAGGAATTTCCTTTGGACTTCATTTTGTGCATGAAAATTAGAAGAGAGGTGCTTTTTTAGGGATAAATAAATTGGCACTCATTGTTTTTAATCATTGCCAAATATGTTGAAACCCACATGCACAAATTCCCTTGATAAAAAAATGAGCCTCTTTTGTTTTTTCAACAGATTCCAGAGGATGTGGCAGTTGAAGTTGGAAGTGCTTTGTTACAATGTTTATTAACAGATGACACTAGTGATGACTTTGGTAGGTAAAAGCCCTAAACTTCAGAAGTCAAGTCAAATTATAGAAGTCAATTAAATCTTCAGAACATAACAGCTTTTAAGTTTTTTTTTTTTTTTTTTTTGTGAATCACTTTCTTTTTTCCTTCAGCCTATCAAGCATTGGTATCTCTCTACAGATTTACACTGATAACACAAGAGGTAAGACATATTTTCTTTTAGTGCTAATACAGTAATTACTCAATGGGGGGAAATTGTGAATTTTACAGATACTGTATTTTTCAAGTAATAATTTCTTTAAATTAGAACATTCATATTGAGTGCTAGCAACAAAATTAAAGAAAAGCTACTCCAAAGTTCTACTCTATGCAGTAAAAGCACCACAAATTGTATATAGAAAAATAATTTTGACGATAAAATTATCTGAAAGTTTGATAATTTTTGCCAATTGAAAAGATCCATAATATATTATGCAGTTCTCTTATTGAAAAGTATTATGAACACCTCCCAAGCACCCTCTCTTTTTTCAAAGTGCCCTTTAAAGTACGTGGTGAAACTAATTACAGTAATGTTCCAACATATGTCTTTATCAAACTTTTCTGCATACATTTGAATTCATCTTCATGTAATATTTGAACTAGTTATGCTTATAGCACCAGCTGTAAATTTTCTAAAAATTTTACTTTTTTTTTATTTTCAAGGTGGCAGACCTTTGTGCAGTGATGGGCTTAGACCTACAAAAATACAAGAAATCCGATAAACTATCCAACATCTGCAATCAGTTGCAACTGAGGATATCATCTTGAAGTGGAATAACCCTTAGTCTATTCCTCAGATATGTAAACAGTGTATTAATCATGCTATAAATTAATGATACATTGTGAATACAAAAAATGAAACGAATATTGCAGTGGAGATTTACCAGGATGAAGCTGGCATCTTCTCACGAGGGTATGAGGAAACAAATTCTCTGAGAGGTAAATAAATGAGGAATTTGATAAGTAAGGGGATTTGTAAACAACGCCATGCAATGTTAACACGAAGAAAAGACATCAGTAAAATTCTCAACTTTGGTACTTTTTTTTATTCATGAATTGAAAAAAGGTTCTATCAATATAGACCATTGAATATTGTTCATAATTATTTATCAGAAAACCTTGAACAAAACTATCCTGCAGTAAAAATGTCTTAGTATTGAGTTTCTGGGCTTAAATGGAAAACATTTTTTGTTATTTATCTTATAAATGGGGTGCAAAAAATTCAAATTTTATGTCATTGACTCACCAGAAGATCAATGCACAATATTAAGACTTGATCTGTGAATGGCTATGTATAATATTTATTAAAATAAAATATATTCAAAGACATTATTTCTCTCTTGATTTTAGCTTTGATATATATTCTCCTATATGCTTCTGTACTGGCTTCAAACTTAATAAAGCCACATTTGACTGAATATCAGATTCTTGTGTTTGTTTAAGTCTCATCCAGTGATTCCTTCTCATTTGCTCCTTTGTAAAACTTCTGGCAGTATCTACAAATGAAAGTAAAATAATCTTATTAAATTTTATCCTCTAACTGATTAATAGGCATGATAGCTAATTGTGGGCCACTCAGAAAAAGTTTTTTACAAGTCAAAACTGACTAAATATTATTTTAATTTATTATAATAAATCCATTCTTTTCCTGTCTTATTCCATACCCCAAACTTAATTTTTAATATTTTCTTACAAATGTCATTTTCATCCCTGTCTCTTTAAAAGAGAACAATACATTATTATTATTATTATTATTATTATTATTATTATTATATACCTGACACTTTCAACCACTCTTCCAATTCTTTTTCTACAGTTGGAATAACATCCTTTAGAGGCACCACTTGGTCAACAAGACCTACTGTTAAAGCTTCTTCAGCAGTAAAAAGTTTCCCTTCCAGCAAGGCCTGTTCTGCCTTCCTCCAGCCCAGGATCTGGACATACAGTTTCGCAATCCTAATCAAAACCAAACAAACATGAAGAGAATATCAGACATGACAGGAACTACAGGCCGATATTTTTTTCCTATTTTTGCCAAGTCTGAAAGAAGCATTAAAAACATATTATCAGTTTTATAAATATGAAGCGGTAAGACAGTATATTTAAAAATTATGTGAAAATAGTTTCATCTGGATGTGTGAGTAATGTTTTCATAAAGTAAGTTTTTTTTTAATTTGTTCCATCCAAAAGTGTCTAGTAGTGATCAACAAACTGTCTAGTATTAGGGCTGAGGAAAGCTTTAGAGGAACACCAAAGTAGAAAACTTTTGCACAAGTTAATTTTTTACATTGCACCACTAACATTTTGACAGTTTGTGCACTGGATTTTTATGAAAGTGATGACAAAATACAGCATTCACATTTTTATCCTACTAAAAGTTCTCCTCTTTTTATAAATGCAAATCTGCCTATAAAATAAATGATGAGGAGGTGCATTGATCAGTAGCAATGTTGATAAAGTACTGCTATTTTTCAGGGGCGGATTCAGAGATTTTTTTGACAGTCTTCCAAATTATCTTTTTTGATTCATTCTTCATTTTTGACTGTCTTCCGACAGAAAAAATTAGATACCCGTCAATGTAAATTTGAAAATCTGACTATCTTCCGGAAGACACAGTTTTTAATACATATAAGTGTTTTCTTACCAAGATGGTGCTGGAATACCCTGAAAAATTAGAAAATAAAAACAAAAATATGTATAAGTTAAGCTTGCAAAGTACAAAATCCATTAAAAAAATTATAAATAAATATATCAGACTTAGGATGTGAAAAAAATTAAATTAACATAAATGTATGTGCAACTTATCAATATAATAATTTCATTATCATTCAATATTTAATTTTATTCTCTTTATAATTATAAAATTAATATTAACATAACTTTTCATTACAAAATCATTCACGATCTCAAAATGCTTTTTCTTAACTTATCAAGAGCAGCTTCAATGATTTTTAATTATTTATTTTTTATCTATTCATTTCATTGCAAGTACACATTTTATATACTAGCATATAAAACTATAATGTTGTGATTAACATTGTGATACTGACCAATCTAGTTACTGTTAGTCCTATATTGTAATTTTCTGCCATCACTCTATAATCACAGCTCATGGCTATCACAGCCCCTGCAGCAGGAGAATGGCCCTTGTGGAACATTATAAAATTTCAGTGAAAATACAAGTTTTCTGAATTCATATCTACATGCAATTTTTACCTGTGGTTATCAATTACATCTGGGTTAAAATTGCATTTCGGTGGAGATAAGTCAAAAATATTAATTTTCTATGCAAAGATTGTTCATGTCAATTCAATTCCTGATAAATAAAAAGAAAAAAATTCTTACTGTTATAGCAGCCATGGTTGTTTTGGGAAAAGCATATAATCTCATCCACATTTCTTGAAAAGTTATCCAGAATTCCCGTAGTTTCTCAGCATCAGGTTGATACATCTCATTTAAATCTAGTCCAGAACTAAATATTTTTGGGATACCCTGTTGAATGAAAAAAAAAAATTCTGACTGCAGCAAGAATCAATATATATCACATTTTGTAATTTAATGGATTTAAAGTACATGTATACTCTTAGACCCCATTCCCAGAGATTAGATCGATCCAACTAAATAGCTGTCAGCTGAGCAGGCACGAAAGTTAATTACCCCCTTACAGCTTGTAGTAGGCGGGATGGACATTTAAGCCGGATTATCTGACAGTAATCTAGTGAGACTCCCCACAGGAATAGATCGATCTAAAATCTATGGGAATGCGCCCTTATATATATATACTAACCATAGACATATTGACTAAATGTTCTCAAAAGTCAAGTGCCATATGAGCAAAACATTTGTAAACAAGCTCCAACAGTCTAAAATATGGTGCAATACAATCATAATGTAAAAACCTATCATTAATACTAATGCATTAAAATAAGTCACTTACTGAAGTAAGTATTACAGCTCTGCAAACTTCATCATTTTGCAGTTCTTTTAATGCCTCACTTACAGACTGCATGAATTCTGTGTTTAGAGCGTTGACTGGGTGATTATTCATTGTAAGAGTAGCAACACCTAGAAAACATTTCAAATAAAAACTTAGGCTGTATTCCCAGAGCTTTTAGATCGATCTATCCCTGTGGGGAGTCTCACTAGATTACTGTCAGATAATCCGGCTTAAATGTCCGTCCCGCCTACTACAAGCTGTAAGGGGGTAATTAAGTTCGTGTCCGCTCGGCTGACAGCTATTTAGCGTGAACCCCCAGGGAATTAGGTCGATCTAAAGTAGATCGATCTAATCTCTGAAAATGGGGTCTTAAATGAAAAGTCAACCAGAAGATCAGGAACAATTTGCTTCTGTTACCTTTTATCATAGAGACAAAGTCAATTATATGCAGTCATTGCATCTATTTTTCAAAGTGTTACATATAATATGTATAAATTTTAATCAACATAATCGTAACAAAATTTGTAAATGTACAACTCATGATCGAGTAAGATACAGACATATAAATACCATAAACAATTACAATCAAGTTGTCCCTACATACATACGACTTCAAAGCTGATCCATACTTGCCTGTGTTTGAATTAAGATTCACATGCACTGAGCCAGTGCTTTCTTTATCACTACAAAAGAACCTTGAACCATGGCCATCTTTAATGTTAGATATTCCTGTAGTCCTGAAACATTTGCTACACCTCCACATTCTGTTGAGATTATAGGTATATAATAAAGCTCGAATGGGTGACATTTTTTTCTGAAAAAACAGAAATAAATACAATATATATCTGGGTTATCTATCACACGTACATGTGCACCTCACTCTTAAGTGAACTGTGATGAATAAGTAAAATTATTAGCATTGAGGCATCCCCTCCCCCAACACACACGACCCTTTCCTAAATTTGCACCTCCACTCCATATTTTAAATAAATAAGAAACCACACACTAACTCAGTAACTATACATGTACCGTAAATTGCACTAGATCTACAACCTACCACTAAATAAATACTTTAGTATCACACGCTGCACGTGCTCACACTCACAGTTTCCTTAGAAGAAATTGACGACTGATGACTTCTCCGCTTTTCGCACTATATATGCCGACCTATTAATAATTCTGCAGTTTCATGTTCGCTCATTTTACTGTAATCATTCACAAATGCATCGTCAATACAGACGGAACAGGTCTGGTATCGCGTAGTATAATTTTTTGTCAATAGATGGCAGTAGGGTAGGCTGGGTTGATGCTGAATTTGTATTTGTATGAATGGGATCTAACAAACTAACCGTAAAAGTTGGACAATATACAGATTGTGGTAAACGAAAATATTTCAGTCCCTGTCCGACTTGGCTAATGAAACTGTCAACTTTTTCAATCAATATTTTTTAAAAGATCATGAGAAAAATATCTTTTTATGCTAAAAGTGCTGAAAAAATAATTTGTAATAAAACTACTGGTCTTAAAAAAGATCTTTAATTGAGACAGAATCTTTTCAATGCTAATTGTGCCACTTTCACAAAAATGCAAATTTACAACAGAAGTTTTTATAGTTAATAACAAACATAATACACAAAAGCATGGCAGAAAATGTACAGCCATAAAGTGGAAAATAACAATGACAGTACACAACAGTTGATAATAATAAACAGCATGATCACCACCAATATTAAATTATATACTACTGTCTTTTAAGGTTAACATTAAAAAAATGTTACATACTTCAGGGCTTCAGGCCATGGGAGTATTAATTAAGTCACACCTTGAAAATGTCAATGTGGGGGAAAATCCATGTAAAAACTGCATAAGGCCACACTTTTTTATTTTTATGGATGACATCCTCTGGGGACCCCAAAATCGGCGCGAGCGGGCGAAAAAAAAAAAGTCAAAAAAAAAAACTGCTTAAGAAAAGTTATGTTNACACTAACTCAGTAACTATACATGTACCGTAAATTGCACTAGATCTACAACCTACCACTAAATAAATACTTTAGTATCACACGCTGCACGTGCTCACACTCACAGTTTCCTTAGAAAAAAAAATGGACGACTGATGACTTCTCCGCTTTTCGCACTATATATGCCGACCTATTAATAATTCTGCAGTTTCATGTTCGCTCATTTTACTGTAATCATTCACAAATGCATCGTCAATACAGACGGAACAGGTCTGGTATCGCGTAGTATAATTTTTTGTCAATAGATGGCAGTAGGGTAGGCAGGGTTGATTCTGGTTGATTGATGCTGAATTTGTATTTGTATGAATGGGATCTAACAAACTAACCGTAAAAGTTGGACAATATACAGATTGTGGTAAACGAAAATATTTCAGTCCCTGTCCGACTTAGGTAATGAAACTGTCAACTTTTTCAATCAATATTTTTTAAAAGATCATGAGAAAAATATCTTTTTATGCTAAAAGTGCTGAAAAAATAATTTGTAATAAAACTACTGGTCTTAAAAAAGATCTTTAATTGAGACAAAATCTTTTCAATGCTAATTGTGCCACTTTCACAAAAATGCAAATTTACAACAGAAGTATTTATAGTTAATAACAAACATAATACACAAAAGCATGGCAGAAAATGTACAGCCATAAAGTGGAAAATAACAATGACAGTACACAACAGTTGATAATAATAAGCAGCATGATCACCACCAATATTAAATTATATACTACTGTCTTTTAAGGTTAACATTAAAAAAATGTTACATACTTCAGGGCTTCAGGCCATGGGAGTATTAATTAAGTCACACCTTGAAAATGTCAATGTGGGGGAAAATCCATGTAAAAACTGCATAACTTAAAAAAATGGTCCAATAAAACTGCTATTTGAACTTGACCTGTGTTTAGGTACTATGAATCCCTCAAGTTAGTTTGAGGGATAATAAGTCACAATTAATTAAAGCATTGCAAGGCAGGATTTTCCTGCCATCAACTTGATCATATTTGACAAATTTTCCTGGGGTTAACGGCATTCTGCCCCCCCCCCCCCCCCCCCCACTTTACCAACCTTTAACATCCTTTTCTGACACTCACAACTTTGTATCAATTTTGTAAAAGGCAAAAGATCAAAGCCTGCACTTCTGATTTACAGATTCTAATTTTTACAATACTAAAGTATAACAAATACTGTGGTGACCAAAAGGCTTAGGATATTAAAAGTTAAAGAATTTGAAGACATTGTAAGTACATAAATCACTTCTAGTTGAACTTATCTGAAGACAAGTTATACTTTTCAATAATTTTTAACAGATTAACACCATCATTGCCAATCATCATGAACTCGGGGAGTCAAAAAGATGGCAGAATTTGAAAAACTCACACTTCAGCATGGACTTAGGATTTTGCAATTTTCCCAGATTATTACAGAGTAATGGCATGCACCAGGAAAGGGGGATCAATGGTTGCATAGCTGTAGAAAAAATTTATCCCTGGATAATCCCTTACGCATACTTTTTGCACGGGGAAAATCTTCCACTGATCGCCTTTAAGGGGTGTTCAAATTAATTTTATTAATTTTTTTTGGCTACATAAAGGTCTTAAAATCTAATGCTCATTGTGTACTTTTTTATCTCCTGTACAAACTAATCTGAGCAGTGCAATGAGTACACTGGGACATTTTCAGACAAGCCAAGGAATATAGAAAGGGTCCTGGGCTTGGGAAGTTCAGATTTTACTGGGGATGGGGCACTGCTGTTTGTCAGGAAAAAATGCTGCAGACTTTCAGTGTGTTAAATTTTTTTATTTTTTCAAAGTACTTATACAGTTAATGCGGGATGTGTTGAATTTTCACATCAGTCACAATATACCTGCTACCAGGGCCACATTGAATTTTCAATTAATATTTACTGTTATTTCTCTGGATAGTTATGTGAGCTTTGTGTACTGTAATCCTGTGATGAAATCCAAGTGTTTATTACAAGTTGGTCACTGTTTTCATATCTACTGAGGCAGTGGCAATTGGCAAGTCCATGGTAAGTCCCTCAGATAGCAGTCAAATCTGCAATGGATCTGACCTTCATTCCTGGCCATACCTTGCTACACTGGAATATGACCTGCGCACAGTTTTGGAAACCCTTCCTACAGTAACCATGTGGAAGACAGACAAGTGAAGAGAGATAATGTAACAAGCATTTTGGCATGACATGCAGTAAGTGGTTTGCCTCTGGCAGAGAGTAGTCAATTTAAATGCCACATCTGAACTACTGAAAAATGTCCAGACAGAAATGTGATACTGAAAAAAGTCCAGACAGTTTTGTACTCATTTTTTCTTATTTTTCAAACTCTGCAAATAAAGTCCCAAAGTCTGTTGTACTTTCTCTTGTTTTATCAGAAACACAAATGATTCTGTATCAACATCTTGAGTTTCTTGTAGTTTTCTCCAGTATATTCTTCTCAAAACATCTTTGGTCATTCCTCTAGCAAGAGCTGTAAATAAAATTTGATTACATTGAAAAACCTTTTTATTACATTATAAAATTAATTGTTCTTCCACAATATCTAAAATATTTCTTCCAGAAATTTATTTCCTTAATGCATTTCATATCTTATATGTCTGTAAAACTATACAATTAATATACGAGCATAAATTTAAAATAAATTACAATAAGTTTAAAATTCCACAATCACAAGACCAACTCTTGACAAATTAACAACATTAAAAATTTAAAAAAAGTCTTTCCCACTGCAAACTGTAAAAGCATTCAGAAAGCACAGAGCTTTTTATAATACATCTTAGTTATCATTGCTATTTATAAATTGGTTGATTTATTAATTTATAGATCATAAGATCTAGTCGCTTTTAAGTTAACTTAGCCCATTTCTGACATATCCTGAAAATTTTAAAATCCACCCATAACCTTTTGAGTTAGGCTGTTAACAAACAAACCAACAAATGCTAAAACATAAACCTAGGTCACTCCAAACAACAGTTAAATTTTGAGTTATTTCCACTTAAAAGCAGACACTGATAAAATGGCGTGAAAATAACTGTATTTAGCTGTTGCTTATAGAAACTATCACAGTAACTTTGTATGACACAGTGGATGAAGATCTTTGCTGGAATAAACTACCTGGTATCTTCCACTCTGAGAGCTCTTTCTCCACAGTTGGAATAACATCATTTAGAGGTACTACTTGGTCCACAAGTCCAACTTTCAAAGCTTCTTCTGATGTGAAAAGTTTCCCTGTCTGTAATGCTAGCTCTGACAGTCTTTGGCCCAGTATACCCACATACAAATCAATAAACCTAAAATGGATGAATTATCTATATAAATCCCCTCATAAAATCCTTAAAACCACATTTTTTTTGCATAAGTGAAGAATACTTTGTTATTTCTATTCATTCAAACACTGCTGCAGTTGATCCTGTTAGAGATGATCACCACATTTTTTCAGAATTGGTGAGCAGGAGTTCTAATCATGTAATACTATATATTTAAAAAAATGGTGACATTTGGAAATCACTAATTTATCATTTATATGGTGTAAAGATCTTAATAACAGAATCCCAATTAAATTGCCTGCATGAACAAAAAAAAAAAAAAAAAAAAAAAAAATCTGTTAACTCACCAGGTTGGTGCAACAATTCCCTGAAAAGAAAAATATCATAAATGTATAATATATATCAGTACCTTGACGGTCCTAGAGTGATGCCAAAGAAGGCCATAAGCAAAAAATACTTCAATAATTTACTCAATCTTCAAATGTGATAAAAATATACAGACTTATTGTCAAAATTAGATTTCTACAACTTGACCTCAGCTCAAGCTCTAGAATTGAGTACACTTTGCCAAATGGCTAAAATTTCTTATTTTGTCACATTTGTCAGAAATAAAAATAACTTTAAAGTGGGTTCAAGGCACAACAGTTGTATTGACTCACCAGCTTTGTTTCATTAAGTCCTATTGTAAAATTTTCAGCCATGACTCTATAATCACAACTCATTGCCAAAAGAGCTCCTCCAGCTGGACTGTGTCCCTGCAATACCATCAGCGTAAGTGGATATAAAACATCCATTTTTGCAGACACTGAACAGGATACTTGGACTGTGTTCCCACAAACCCAACTTACTAGCTGGTTCAATCTAACTCTGCGGGGCTTCTTACTAAAGTGCTTTCAGTGTAATCAGCTTAATCATCTGGCATGGCCGCTTGAGTAACTAAGGGGTAAATGACTATATATTTAAATACCCCTTAGCAGCTTGAGTAGGTATGCCAGACATTTAAGCTGCTTACATTGAATGCAGTTTAGTGAGAATCCTTGCAGACTTAGATCCAGCTAGTGCAAAATAATAAACTGATGAACACAAGCATCCCACATAATATCCAGGTCCATTTTTGTAGAAAAATTTTATAATATAAGTACAGACCATTAACTGATTCTAAGACTATTACAGAAAATCTGCTTTAAACACATGCATGTGCTTGTAATATGAAAGCATTTCAGCAGTCTCAATAATGTTCCTCCCAATCAGCTGTTTCTAAATTATCTTCTTATATACATACATCAGACACATTTCTATACTATACTTACTGTTATGGCAGCCATAGTTGTTTTGGGAAAGCTATACAGTCTTATCCACATGTCTTGTAAACTTGTCCAGAATTCTCTAAGTCTCTTATCATCGGGCTGGTACATCTCTGTTATGTCAAGCCCTGCACAAAAGATATTAGTGAGTCCCTGCAAATCCAAAGAATACAAGGCTTCAAAGCTGACATATAAAAGAATATTCTGAAATGATGGATAGGCAATGTCGCAAACAAACATCATTTCAATGGAAATTTCTCCATCCCAGTGCTTTCAGCATATGAATACTGATATTGCATATTATAAATGCAAATTTCAATGATTACTTTATACTAGACACAACTACCAGTACTACTGCTGTATACCCATACACTTTAGTGCTACAAATTTGCATATAAGCTAGCATGTGTTATTGCTCAAGCCTCATAATGATCATTTCATGATCTCAGTAACTATTCTACTACCTTTTAGATAAAAGTATGATTCCTTCTACTCAAAACGTGTGTATATATATAACTGCTAGTGTGGTTTGTTTATGTGTGTATGCAGAGTAAAAAGATGACTAATGGTTATTGTATTTATATTTATATAAAGATTATACTAATATAGCGACAAGCTTCACATTAATAACTTCTTACAATGTGTCTGTCATATACTCAATTTATGCTTATTTCATATACATAGGCATTACCATCTTATTAAACCAGACCCAACTTACAGATGTTAATATAACTGCTCTGCAATCTTGATCATCCTGAATTTCACCCAATGTTTTATGCATAGATTGCAAAAACTCCAAGTTCAGGCTGTTGACTGGAGGTTTATTCATGGAAAGAGTTACAACACCTTAAATTAAGAAATAAAACCATTTTTCAGAAAATCACATTTAAACATTGGCATAGTAAAATGCTTAAGTTCAACTAAAAGCTCCACAAAAACTATACTTATATTTCAATAATACTTAATACAATTTTAATACTTTTGTTTTTTGATAAATAGGCATTAATTTTTCAACCAGCATGAACAAAGGCAGATCCAAATTGTGCAACACTCAAGTCTTGGTGAAGGATACAAGACAAGTGGAAAAAATATGATCCCATTTTTCTTATGCCCTCTATCCCAGCTAGGTGATGTGATACAGGTTCTTAACCAGCAATTTAACAGAGGGGTTCTTTTTTCTTTTTCAGAAAAAGTGGACAATTTTACCATGAAACCATCAAGTATATAGATCAAATTTCACCAAGTGCAGACTGCACTCGTTTACATTTCAACTATATATGTACCAGTTAATACAATTTACAATTTAAAAAATCTCTCTAGTCTCAATTACAAGACCTTTTTTACCTATACTACTTTGAAAAAACAAAAAAATTCTGTATAAACCCAGACAATTTACATAATCTTCAAAAGTTAATTTTCACCTGTGTTTGAGTTATGAGATACTTGGAGTCCATCTCTTTCTGTCACACTGGATAAAAACCTTGCCTGACACTTTGCAAAACTTCTTCCTGTGATAGAGTTCACATGTTTTCTGCAAAAAGCTAGGCAGGAAGGAAACCTCAATGTTCTTAGAGCTGCCATACTTCTGAAGAGAAAGAAATTATAAAAACAAAAGTTATACCTTATACATGTACTATGCAATACTTGCACATTAAGTTTAACTTGGGAAAATTTTTGTACTGATGTTTGCATTCCAGACAATTGTATGTAGCACTAAAGTTGTTTATTTTCACAAACCACCATAAAAAGCAAGGAAGTAAATATTTACTTCCTTGATAAAAGTGTCCCAAGACAAAATGTCAGATTTATACCAGTTTTAACATTTCAGTGTGCTTCTTAATTACTGCAGGCTGACCTGTGTTGACATATATCTAAGAACAGCTGGTATTACCATGTGGGCAATAGTTGGGAGATAAAGGAAAGGTTACAAGTGAATTTTCTCAAGACAAACCTTTGAATGAAAAAAAAGTAATGGATAAGGAACAAGGACTTAGATTTTAAACTGGTAAGTTTTTTGGGGGAATTTTTTCATTTTTGTTCTGCTTCTTGTTACCCATTAAGTCAACCTTAGGACGTCAAATTCTAATGAATAAGCTTTAAAAGACATATTGTATTAATGTTTTTTTCATATTACATGTGTTTTTAATGGAAATTGCTTCATATTACCTAGTTAACATGCATATTACTCTCTTTGGTACTAATCCTTATAAAAAATTTTTTAAACTATATACATGTGCCCATACCATGCATGGACTATCACTTGGATGGATTAATGAACCTAAAAACCAAGGGTCATACTTCTACTTCTGGTCAGAACCAAGGTATTTTTCAAGTTCAGTGTCAATAATTGAAGACTAAATAAAGAACAACTGTCTGTATTCTGTCATAATTTAATGTACCATGACGTATATTAAAATTTCGATTCTGTTGATTAAATGCAAAAACCAATAAAAAAAGTGTAAAACAGATATGTATTTATTTGTATAACAAATTTCAAGCCGCTAATATAACAGGGAAAAAAGCATACCAACCAGGAGCCAGGTAAAGGCTTTTTCGTAAATATAATGATAACTAACTACATTTGTTTGTGCAATAAATACATGGACAAGCCTCCAAAATCTTGGAAAATCCTCCTTATAACACACTTGACAATATCTTTAGAGATTTTACATGTGATCTGATTAAGGACACGTTTACGCCACTGGTTGATGATTAACGTATTCTAAAGCAACTTGTAAAGCATACCCACTCTATTTACCTGGGCCTTCTCTGAGTACAACAGGCGCTAGGAATCTGACCTTTGCTCTCCTTTGCTCCTTTAGCTTCTTTAGTTAGTAAAGACGGAAAAGAGTGCACTCAAGAAAAGCCTTTTGCTCACATACTTACGCGTCCACACACATAAAATACAGTTGATTTTAAAGATGAACATTGTTCATAGTGGCTTTAGCAAAGTACCATTCAATTTGAAATGACTGTATCATACCTCACAAACAATTTTACCTTTCTGCATTAGCGTAACGTAGTGGGGAACCCCCTCTCCCACAATTCCACGCGCAGGTTCCCGCCCTCATCTATCAATCAATGGAAGTCACATGATAACTCTTAAAAAGAAACGTACTAGGTGGGTTTTCTGCAAAGTACGGCATCAATAAATATATTTTTTCGGTCAAGATGATAAATAAACATCTGGAATATAACTTGAATTGTTTACTTTAATTCTTTTGCTGGAATTTAGGGTATTCTTTACATAAATGTGAAAAGACCGGAAGTGCCTTGGCAACTAATTTGCATACGGAGCAATGTCAGTCGCGTTGTTTATCCGCGATTTGGGGGTCAAGGTCTTAAAATGTGAAATCTCGTCGTGATAATGACCTTTCATGAAAGGTAAGTGTGCTGATCTTTAATTAATTCCTTTAAGTACCATTAAATCATAAATACCCGCGAAGACCTGCAATTAATTTATCAAAATTTTCTTTCAAATAAGAGCATCTTTGTGCCATACTGTTGCACTGTGGTAACAACATGGCGACTAAGTAAATTAAAAGTAGGTCAATTAAATGAAATTACTTTTTGAAGGCAAGTGCAAAAATTAATTTTCTCCTCCTAAGCTGTTCTGGATGTCGGTATTCCAGTGTCTTTTTGCATACGTTGCGCGCAGATGTAATGTCAGAGCATCTTCAGAAAATGTTGGTCTCGCTCACCATAGTTAGACCAAACATTATCTTGCCTGTGCTTGTGAAATGCTGGCTTTGTGATTGGTGAAGCAGTTATTCCAATGTATACCTAAAAAACAGCAGAATTATCGTTTCTTTAGGTTCCTGTATTGATGTAGGCATAAAGCATTGTATGTGTATCCTAAACATGTGTATGTGCTTACACGAATCGCCGGTCTCTTTCGTGACCTACTTAAGCTATCGCTGTGGAACTACCATCAGTGGAATTGCACTAATAGTACTCATTGTAATATATATACATATGTAAATAAATGGTGGCCTCTTTGTCATGTCCCATCTGTTATTGTTTTTATTGTTTGGGGATAGCTATACAGTCTTATCTACATGTCTTGTAAACTTGTCCAGAATTCTCTAAGTCTCTTATCATCGGGCTGGTACATCTCTGTTATGTCAAGCCCTGCACAAAAGATACTAGTGAGTTCCTGCAAATCCAAAGAAAACAAGGCTTCAAAGCTGACATATTTGATAGAAATTTTTTATATGTTAAATTATATACTGTCGAATGCATGTTAAAACAAGGATATTTTGATATTTAAATTTTTTTTCAGGCATAGTTGAGGGCTATGCAAAGCCCAGGTGGAGGTGGCTGCAGAGTAGAGCGGGAAATTATCGAGGCACAAAAGTGGCATAAAGAAGAATTGCACATCCGTGGCTTTGAACTAGAGTCATTGCCACTATCTGTTTGCCAACCACCCATCACAAAGACTTTATTCAAGCTAGACTTGAGCCACAATTTTATCAGCGAGTTGCCTCCATCCATTTCCAAGCTTGTGAACTTGCGTCACCTCTGCTGCAGCCACAACCAGCTTTTGAGCCTGCCAGAAGAACTTGGTCTGTTCAATTATTTAAAGACTTTAGATGTATCCAGGAACAAAATTTCTAGGATTCCAAAGTGTTTGACAAATGTCCGAACTTTAGAGATTGCTAACTTCTCTGGAAACAAGATTGAACTCTTGAATCCAGAAGTGCTATCCTTACCCAATCTACAGAGATTGTATGTGACAAAAAATCCCATCACAAATGTACCCAGGGAAGTGTTCTTAGATGGGTTAGACAAGCTTCGCCAGTATTTTGAGTTATATTTATCACTCTATGATAGTGATTCTTTAACACAGCATTTAGAAGCCCTAACAATCAGTGGCTCCACACTACCATCTTCTTCAGCTGCAGTTCATACATTACCTCCTGTGAAAACTGCAGTTACAAGTGACTATGGTTCTTGTTCAAATGACTTGGTATCAGTTAATACAGGATCTGTTCATGAAGACAGCTGTAGCTGCTTTGGGGACTGTGGCAGTGATGGTGACCCAGATTTTGACGACTCTTTTTCAGAATCAAATCAACCTTGTTTAGATGAAATTTTAAGTTCAGATTCCGATTTTGAAGAGGATGGATACATTGAAAAAATCCTGCCAGATAGAACTAAATTGTTGAGGTATGGCAATGTTACTGTTCATATCCCACAACACAACAAAAGTGGACATTCTGTGCATGATTTCCACATGGAAATATTAGAAGATTGGATGTACAAGCCTGATACCACAGAAAGAGCTGTCCATGCTAGTCAGGTAGTGTGTGTAGAACCACATGGCGCAAAGTTCTATGTCACAGAACCTGCAATATTAACACTTCCATTAGGAGTAGGTGTAGACCAAGAAGACCAAGTGATCTGTCTCTGTAGTAACTCAGTCCCAGGGAACTTTCCAGTCTGGGAACCAATACCAAAGAGTGATTATAAATGGGATAGAGACAGGGTTACAATCAGAACATGGCATTTTAGTTTATTTACAGTGATTGTCTCTAAACCTTACCCTGAAGTTGTCAAAGAGGTGCTTGCTGGTGAAGGTGGACATGTCATAGTAGATGATGTTCCTGGAGTTGAAGTGCACTTTCCCAAAGGTGCTCTACAGGAAAACATTGATGCCAGGATTAAGGTTTATTATGCTGATGAACCGTATGCTAGAGATGACCAGTCTGATGGTCAAGCTCAGGCCTTGGCAACACCTGTTGTTATGGTGGGTCCACACGGCTGTCAGTTCAAACCAAATCATTATAATAATCCAGTGACACTGCGACTTCCACTACCAGACTGTGGGGAAATCATGCGCAAGTTTAAAGTCCACCCACAGCAGTGCTTGACAATCTTGCACAGTGACACAGACGAAACACAACCACTCTGCTGGGAGAGGTTGGATGTTAAGTATAAAGTGGAAAATGACAAGGGTGGAAATTTTTACATCCGTGTACCAGTAACACATTTTTCTTGGTATAAAGCAGTCTGGGACTTACTGGCAGGAACTCTTCACAGGGCCAAGGTTGGGGCCTCTTATTTCTATCCTTACATAAGATTTTCCATGATGTGCATTGCTATGATGGAGGAAAACAAAGACACAAGGACATTTGGATTAGAGGTGATTTGTTATCGTAGTGATAAGAAACTACCTGAAGTGGGTAACTACAAGCACAGAGTTGGGGGCAGCATTAAACCTAAAATGGTTAGACCAGGTGAGGACATGTTTATTACCAGATTTATATTTCTTTGGTTTTACCTTTTTTTTAAGGTAAAAATAAAATTTGAAAGTTAAATTTTTTGTAGGGATCATATTTAATGTGCCAATTACACAGACCCAGCCACCTGTAACCTTGTCAATAAGTAACTTCTTTTGACTATTTCCTGCAATATCCAACAACATTTTAACAGCACTGCGATTTATTTTCATGTGATTAGCAATCAGTTTATATCACATTTACTTGACTTTACAAATGCAGTCCATGAGAGATATTAAAATTCTGAAATGGGTTAATAATGAAGGTCTAAAAAGGCTGTCATGAAATTTGATTACTGTTATATGTTTATTTGTTTGCAGGGCCAGTTATTATACGTCTGGCTTCCAATGATTTTGAAGCTGATGTTCTTCATGGGGAAGACCCAAGCCTGACAAAGGTGGAGCTAGATTTCAGGGGAATGGAATTTGAAAAACAATTTGCATGCGTTTTCAAGGTAGGAAAACACATCTTTACTTCCTGTCTAAAATCCCTGATATTTGACCATAGTATGAATTAGAAACTGCTCAAAGTAAAATATGAAGCAAGTGTAACCCCCCAGTAATGCACATGCATCACTGCTATTAGTTTCTTATACAACTCATATTTCCAAAGCATAAACCTAATTAATCACTTTGTCAGTTAAAAAACAGAATTAAAACTACACTTCTTTGAATTTCTGGTTGTAAACTTGACCTATTTATCCATCCCACCAGTTTGTTGTATGAACATTACTGTTGAGTGTGCAGTAGTTAGCATTAATATTTAATTAAGGGTTGGTGGAAACTGCCAACTTGAAGGGTTTTATGTAGCACAGAAAGAAAGCTGAACAGACTTGTTCAAATATCATTTTTAGGGAGATACCTTTGGTATATCATTTTTAGGGAGATACTTTGGTATATCTTGAAGCTATGTTATTGGAAACCATGTGATGGCAATTGGTCAGGTCAAGTGGCAAAAATCTGAATTGATATGTAACTTAAACTTTTATGATCAACTTGAACTGAAATTTTAGACATTTTACAATAATAAAGTTTTTAAAGACACTGGCCATGAGAAACAGTTGAAAACTTACATCGTTATAATATTTCAGGGTGAGCCAGTAGAAAAAGGTGTGTTTGGCAAAGTGTTTGTGGAGAGATTAGTTGTAACTGGAATTCCTGCTGAGGCTATCTGTGAGTTCAATCTGACTAAGGTGAGTGGAGTTATCAAAAAGCAAATTCATAAAGAGACTATACATGTTTTACCTATGAGAAATTATGTTTTGTCACATTTAGTTTTGTACTATTTTTACACTTTACAACCTTTAGACAAGAGACAATGAAAAGCCTATTTCACTATATGATAAGTACAACTGTAGTTTAGGTAAAATGAAATACCATTATATTATAGTTACAAATACTCATTGTCCACTGTATGCCACATACTATAGCATTATTATAATGCAGTGTTAAAATACAGGCAAGCATGTAAGCAAAATACCAGTGCAATTATCCAATTGTTTGATGCACAAGTCATGGTATAAAATTTGTTAATGACCAGGTAAATTGTCTAAAGTTAAATGCCTCAATACACCTGAACATAATCTCTTTATGGTAACTTTTTAACAGTATGGTCTTCAATAAACCTGTGGTTGTAATTCTATGAGAAGTTTACTGCATTTGTTGTTTTACATAAAATTCCAATTTCTTATGTTGGCAGAATGGTAATGAAGCTGATGTAATGCCAGACACAACTGATCGATGGTCACTTATGGCTGTCAAAGAACTGGCAGGTTAGTAAAGATGAAATGAATTCCTATATTCTGTATTTTTAACAGAAGTGTGAATATAATATTATTTTGGAAGGAAAATGTCAGTACACCTAAATACTACATGCTGGATTTCAATATGCTTATCTTGACATTTAGACTTCCTTACATAATACATTTAATAAAATGTTGTCAGCATTTTGTGTATTAATATATTCCATTATACTTCATAAGGTGAACTGTAAGTCTTAGCCCTTTTTGTCATTTGTCTTCATTTCTAAATGGTCTCAGTATATTCATTGGCTTTTTTTCTTTGACACCATTTTAGCCATGCTAAACATTACTGCAGATAACAACTGGAAAAAGTTTGCCAAACACTTGGGTTTCACCAATCATGAAATCCGCAACAGACTGTCTTACACCGAGGACCCATTTGCTTTCATGTTGACCATGTTTCAAAATAGGGGCGGGACCCCAGATGAGTTTGTACAGTCACTGTATGAAGTGAGTAGATCACTTCGCATGGGTGATGGCAGTGGTTCCTTAGACCAGATTGGTTTTATGAACCAGTCAGGATTCAGGACAACTGATGATGAAGACAGTAGCATGTCAGATGAATCTGCAATTGCAGGTAAGTTCATAATGTATTATTAGTATTTTATGAAAAGAAAAAAAATTGATGTTCTCTCATTTTGTGTGTTTATTGAATATTTAATATTTGTCAATATGTGGATTATAGTTTTTCCCACAGATTTTATGTAATCACATTGTTAAGGTATGGCACTTTTTGTTTCATTATTATTAACCTAACACTAATACTTGATATTGACAGAAGAACCATCACTTAAACATCAATATGCATTAAAGCAGAATTAAAAATTTTTAAACAATAAAACAAATCTTTTAAGATGTCTGGGAAAAAGAAAGAAACTGGCATGTTGTTAGATCAAAGAAAGAAAAATGATTTAGATTTAATGTAAAGATATTCACACATGGAACCTGATTTGTTATTGATTCAAAAGTCATCTTATCTAAGTAGGTAGCCTACATTGTTGAGGCATTGAATTCCAGCAGTGACAAGTTAAATTGAGTGTTATCAATTTTTAGGTAAACAGAGGCTAAGATAGTAGCTATGGTTTTAAATTTGATTGCTTATGTGCATTTATTTCAGTCTAGGAAGAGAATGTGGAAGTTTGTTTTCTTTAGAGAAGGAAAGTTTCCATTAATATCAGTTAGATTAGCAACAAATGTTTAATTGTTACTCATTTTACTCAAATTTTGAATTGCAGGGCCCAGTGGATTCATTTCTCCTCCCAGAAAACGTGGAAACTCAATGGCCCCTATGCAGAACCAAGCCAAAAGGAAACGCAAACATTCAGACCACTCTGACAGTTTTTCTAGTGAAATGTCAGCAGTGCAGGATGATCAGGTTCATAGGAACAACAAGAAACCTCTGGAAGGAAGTGATCTTTGGCGGGTATCACCCTACATCTTGGACAAATGGAAATTCATGGGGAGAACTCTCAATTTACCAGAAGAAGACATTTTGAGTATTGAACATGCCAATCGAGACATTCAAGAATGCACGTATCAGATGCTGCTCAAGTGGAGGGAGCGATACCCCCAAAGGTGCACTTTTGGAGTGTTGTATTGTGCCTTGCATGAGAATGGGTTGACATCAGTTGCACAACAGTACTGTACTGTGCCCAAGACGTAACAACTGCAAGCATGCTACTCAGGTCAGGTTTAAGTGGTTGAAGTGAACATGATAAGATTACATGATATTTTTTCCCTTATGATAGCCAGTGAAGTTCAGTTTTCTCAATTTTAGTTTGACATGTTGCAAAGACTTGACTTACCACGTATTTTTTGTTTGGCAAGTTTGGAAAATGGTATTATTCAGTCAACTTGAATGTGAACTGGTAGCATGCTTTCTTTTGAAGTCTGGTTGTGTAGAGAGGAGAAGAGACAGTTCAACCTATAAGAACCAACAAGTCTTCTCATGTTATGCATTTTATATAGTTGTTTAGTTTTAAGAAGGTTTCTTACAGATATATTTTTATACGGGAACTTTTTTCCGCAATTTTTATTGTACAAATTAAATGATTTTTGTACAGATATCTATGTTTCTATGAGCTTGATCTGCCACTATTTATTTTTTCATGTTTCGTAAATTTTGATGGAAGATGTAAAGTTTTTAATAATAATTCTTGGATCAGAATTAAAGCTTTCCAAGGTGTTAAGGGATCCCACCTTGCTGTTTAAATGATTAAAAAATCCATCAGTAATGACACTTGGGAGTGCCAGGCCCTCGTGATGTAACTTATCCAAAGGGGTTGAACACCCAAGACAGAAGTATGTCCAGTTGACCGATAACCCAGGCATTTTGTCTCTTTTACACACAATACACTTTTAAGTAATTTGTGAACCAAGTAACCAAATATCTTGGGGCCCCCTTTGTCCCAAATGTTTAGCCAATGTAAGCTGTACATCGAAAGGCGTAAGTAAGCTCAGTACTTCTGCCATATTTCATGGGCGCATTTTCAAAATGTCAGGGTTATCAATAAACTTGACATACTTTTGTCTTGGAAATTCAACCCCTCTTGTTGCCTTGGTCCCCACATCATTCTTCATGTATTTCATTTGTATATAAATCATCGTAAAATATTATTTTTGATTTTATGTGCCAAAATGTGTCATTTTGACAAGTTATTTTACAAATTTAAGAAAACTTCTACTTCCGTTTGTAATCACTTGGTAGATATTTCAATTTTATTTATTTTTAATGTAATTATTAGGGGATCCTAGATGCATTTAATCTGCCTTTTCTTCAAAACAGCAACAAGTAGAAAAAGAGAATTAGTAGTGCATTACTTTTGGTGCTGGCACCCAGACTAGGTATATTGGGCAAATTTTTTAATGTTCACATATTTTAACATTTAAGGCAGCCTTTTATCTTGCACAAAATTGTAAGTGCTCCAATAACATTTTCACCGTGGTAAAATAAAACACCTAAAATTTTATAATATTATTTTTATTATCCAGTGTGTTACACCTTTGTTTAAGCATCTCCTGTCTATGGTAACTACTTAAAATTTTCAAACACATCAGTTATATATACTGACAGTCAATGAAAACGCATCATTTATTTATCAAATAATATTTTAAGTTTATTTGGCAAATTAAGAAAATGACAGTTTTCGTGCGAAATATGACCCATTATTCAGTCACACAAGGTGAAATAAAAGTCAGAAAAGATCATTAAAAAAAAAAGATCATTAAAATGCAAGGTCACGTGATCAAATCTCTTTGGTTCCGCCCAGCCTCCAGCAACCCCAGGGCCCGCAGTCGCCCTTCCAGTGTCAGACGTGGCATCACTGAACTTTGTCATGTGTCATACTGGATTTGGTGATTACCTTAAATAGGCTTAATTAATCACCATATATTGAACCTGATTAATTCACACCAATCACGCGATAGGGAAAACACAATTTTGATCACAAAATCACTGAAGCGGGAATTTTAAACATCTGAATGGTCAGTCCACTTTCTTATGACCAAAAAATTGCATTTGTACTCATTTATATGGTTGGAATCGATTCTCGGTAAAAGTACAAGAGTACAAAAGTACAAGAAAGTTTTCTTATGCATTTTCATTGACTGTCAGTATATATCTCTGGTATCTGTCTTTTTCAAGGATTGTCATCTCAAGTTACTGGTGTAATGTACTTTCTGATGCAAAGCCATTATTTTACGAAACTTCTGAATCACTACTTAAATCATAACTAAAAAATATTGTTCTGTGAAAAATTATTGATTCAAATTTATCTAGAAGATCAGAGAGACGATACCGCCTTGGGGTATTGTACCACCAGCTGGAGTAAGCACATTTGTATGGATAACATAGGGACACCACCTCCAGTGTTGTGCTTGACAAGCTCTACAAAATGCAATAAACAAGATTTCACAGTTTTTTTTGTTCAAAATAATTTATAACAAAATCATGGGGAAAAGTTAAAGGTGCAGTTTATGGCGAAAATAAGGTCAAAGGTCTAATTCAAGGTCACAGGTAATCTGTCAATATATGACATAACTTTTCAAGTTCAGGAGTATCTATGGGCATATCTGTGCCAGTTTTGGAGATATAAGGGACTTAAAATTTGCAGAGTTCAGTTCATGGTGAAAAATAGGCCAAAGGTCAATTTCAAGGTCACAGGTTGCCAGTATATGACTTCCTATTCAAGTTCAATAGTAAATCTGGGTGTAACTCTGCCAGTATTGGAGATATAAGGGCTCTAGCAAGAGGTCTCTAGCAATTACAATTCCAGAATTGGAGCTTTTTGTTTTTGGCATCCAGTGACGCCTTCTCCTGTGATAAGGCACCGATTGACCCCAAACTCACAAATATGAAAGATGACCCTAAGTGTGACCCCTGCCCATAATATTATAGGTTGGGGTTGTGTAGTTTCTGAAAATCGTCACAACTCGTTGCACAAATTGTGCAAAAAAATTCCCATTTTTAGAAAATTTTGGCCCCTTTGACCTTGAAATAAAATATATAATAATTGATCTATAATTTTTGAAAATACTTTTTCAAACAGCCTTCATCTGTTGATGGGATCTTGAGACCTAGATGGTCAGCAACACCATTTGGTATTCCTAATCAGTCTGCAATGAGATGTTCCACTATCAGTCTGCTTCTATTTCATTTTCATATCAGTAAATACCCTTGCGTCTTGTTAATTTCTCTCTGATGAGAAGAGTAATTCAAGGGGATGATTAAACATTGGCAATAGAGGAAGGTCTGTCAAACGTACCTGCAAGACAACACAAGTAATTAGTTATGGTAATTTTCACAGGCTTTCCATTGTGAGTTGTGTAAATAATTTAATTTCTTAATTAAAAAGGCAGCAAAGCTGTCAAATGTACAGACAAAAAGCAGGAAATAACAAAATAGGCTACTGTCAATTCTGATGCAAAAGTACATTATGTTAAACTGCAAATTCAACATCAAATTTTAATTATGCTCAACAGATAATACCAATGTAAGTAAAATGTGAAACAAGCATAAGGCTTCAGGCCCATGGGAGTTCAAGTTCACACTTTGAAAATGTAAAACTTCCAGAAAAAGAAGTCAATTAGACTGCTTTTCCAACTCAGGCTGCATTNAATCTTAATTTAAAAATAAATAATATAATATCTGCAAAGTAATAAGGTAACTTTAGTCAAAATAAGAAAAATGTTCTTAAATGAATAAAGTTGGCAATTGACTAATGATAAATATAGATAAAATGCTGATGTACTGAGTAAATACACTCAATTATTCACCTAATTATCTGCACATTAAATTTCAGTGGCAGTGCTCAAAACGGCAATACAATGGTGACACGCATAACATTGTGAATTTGTACTCATGTGCAACAGTTTTAAGAAAAAACCACTACAAAAATATCAGTAACTAAATTCTTTCAGCCTTTGTTCAATGCCTTACAGGACATGTTAGCCTGTCATTATTTCTGACACCACCAAACACCACCAAATCTCCCTTCATTTTATGCAGTCGCAAAATTTTTCACTGACATGATTATTATTCAATAACTTAAACAATCCCATCATGCTACTATTCGAAACAAATTTGGATTTTTTACAAAAATAAAATATGGCTTTGGACTTATGGGGAAAACTTCACCAAAAATAGCTGCAAAACATGTGATGTCTGTATACAAAACATTGTGACTTACCCTCATGAAATCATGAGCAACTCCAACCTTGTCATTAAAAGAATCGTTGAATTCAGGTACCCTCCCATATCGTTGGCTAAAGTGGGTGAGCAATGTAAATTTAGCATTCATTTCCTGCCCAACCTGAATGGCTTGAGAAGTAGTACTGAAACATACATTTCACTTTATACAGTTTTTTGTCTTCATGTCATTTTCCATCAACAGATTAAAACAATGCGTAACACAGCCAAAAAGTAAAAGGATAACAACTGTTCATTTTGGCCAAAAATGAATTTTCGTGGGATAAACAGCAATTTTCTCATATTTACCAATGGTTAAATGAATTTCTACATCCAAAGTAAGTCCGTTTTTTTTTTTTTTTTTTTTTTTTCCTCTAAAAAAATTCCTTTTTTGTAATAATCTCCTAGGAGTTTACAGAGTTTAGCCATCTATGGAGGTCACGTAGTCAGATGGCAAGCACAGACTTCAGAATAACTGCTATAATTGCCATTTTTTGTGGTAAAATATATATATTTTTATGAGTTGTTTACAATGTATTTACTGTGAAATGTAGTTCTCAATGAGCTCATACAAAGAGTACTGTTGTTATCCCTTTTAATTGCCAAAAATTTTAATTCAACTTTAGTCTGCCATCTTTCTTGTTTATTAAATTTTTTATTTGGCTCAAAAAGTAGCTTTAACGTTTGTCAAAGAGATAAACAAGTGTAATATGGCAATATAACATACACACAGACATAACAAGGCAAGAAAGCTGTCAAATGTACAGATATGAAAGCCAAAAATGATTTACCAAATAGGATATCAAGCCCAAAATCTATGGGGTTCAAGTTGATATTATAAGTGACCTAATTCCAAGAGGACCTAATTCCGAGAAGAGGACACAGGTTCCTGTAGTCTTAGAAGAAAAGCCGTATCAGTGATTTGAATCTGCCGACATGATGCAGAGCAATACAAGATGGGTTGAGTCTTGAAACATGAGTACTGCCAGAATTCATGCTGGTGGTACAAATAATCTAATAAGGCCACTTTTCCAATTAAAGTTATATACAGGTAAAATGGATTTTCAAAAAACATAAGTAACAGCGACAAAAGATGAAGCTGATGGCTATATGTACAGACACAAAAAAAAATCATAATAGCACTCATCCACAATTAACACTTTTTCATTTAAAAATTGGGCAACAGTAATGTGAAATATCAAGCAAATCTTAAATAAATCTTCATTTTTCACTTACATGTATTGCCTAAGTATAGAAATTGCATGGTTTAAATCTATATTTTTGCCAAATATTCATGAAATGGAAGTAATGAACAGCAATTATGGATTAGGATATTCTGACTCTGTAAGATTGTGTCATCTGAAGATGTGATGTCAAGTTAAGCTGGCTGGTCATTTTTATCTGGATGTAAACAGGAACTGAGACGCAAGTACAAGTTGGAGTGGATTTTAAGGCAGGTGTAGAGACAACTAACCAACACATCCCAGCTTACAACTATTTCTGTCCCATTGAAAAAAGATTCTGCCTTTAAATAATATAGCACACTAAGCTGTCAGGTATGCAGGCATGTGTCATACCAACTTAAGTGCACCCTACAAGAGTGAAAAGCAATAGATTTTAAGTTGTTCAGCAAAGTTTTATTTCAAATTATCTTTAAATAATGAAAAATAATCTACAAAACTATGTCATTAAAACACTGTTAACAGTGCAATGCAACTTAAGCAACAAATGATTAAGACATAAACAAAAACAATTGTTCGAAAATTTAAATATAACTGCAACTACCTTCCGCTGCCAATATAGTTTTATTTCTCCCAACAATTTTTGAACATGCAGTCACCATTAACAGAAGTGGATTAAGGCTGTCTTCAGGGTCTTCTAGAAGATGGTCAGATTTTCAAGTTTATATTGACGGGCATCTAATTTTTTCTGTCAGAAGATGGTCAAAAATGGAGGATGGATCAACAAAGATAATATGGAAGACTGTCAGAAAATATCTCTGGATCCACCCATGATTGAAGTATTTTGCCTGAGTGGCAGTTGGACAAGAAGGTCTACTTTTAGAGTCAAAGCGCTTTGTCATACATGCATTTGGCAGATATGATATTCCCTCACTTACAATTTATTCCCCATTAGCGGGTAAAATCATTGACCTACCACAGAACTTGAAAAAAAGACTTCAGGTTTCCACTCAAGCCTCAGCTTTGGCAGAAATGATATTCCCTCACTTGTAATTTATTCCCCATTAGTGGGTAAAACCTTTGACTTACCAAAGAACTTAACTAGAGAGCAAGGCTGACAAATTACAGACACCATACAGGAAAAAAGGTAGCAAAGTTGTTAAATGTTCAGACATTACACAGAAAAAAGTGCACAAAATATTGTTTTGGCCAATATTGATGCACTGTCACATAATGCTTTAAAATAGTATAATCATTCTTACCCTCTTAAATTATGTACTATTATTTAGGGGACATGGACACTGAAAAACTAGCAGGTGATTCAATTCAACATGATAAAAAAGCCACTGAAAATGCTGTGTGAAAAAGAAAAATTTCACACATAAAAAAACAGAATAATTACCCTAAATGTAAACTGATAATGCTGATTTTTGAAGGCAACCTTCCGCTTTACAAAACAAAGCCACTCAGTAAATATAAAGTAAAACAAAAATACAGTTTGGCAGTTATGGGGCGAACGTAACCATAATTGTGCAAAAAACAGAATAACTAGAGGATCAGAGAGGCGATACCGCCTCCGAATATTGTACCACCAGCTGGAGCAAGCGCATTCGTATAGACCCCCACATACACAAAAGAAGGGACACAGCCACCAGTCTTATGCTTGACAAGCTGTAAAAATGCAATCAACAAGAATTTTCAAAATATGCAAAAAATATATATAACTTAAAATGGTACAATCAAAGTTAAGTTCATCATAAGGTAGGTCAAAGGTCAATTTCAAGGTCACAGTAAATTGCCAGTAAATGACTTCCTATTCAACTTTAATGGTAACTATGGACCTATCTCTGCCAGGTTTGGAGTTAAAAGAGAAAGAAATTTGCAAAGTTCAGTTCATAGTGAAAAGTAGGTCAAAGGTCAATTTCAAGGTCACATTTAGATTGCCAGTATATGACTTTCCATTCAAGTTCAATAGTAACTATGGACCTATCTCTGCCAGTTTTGGAGATAAAAGGGAAGCAAAATTTGCAAAGTTCAGTTCATGGTGAAAAGTAGGTCAAAGGTCAATTTTAAGGTCACATTTAGATTGCCAGTATATGACTTCCTATTCAAGTTCAATAGTAACTATGGACCTATCTCTGCCAGTTTTGGAGATAAAAGGGAAGCAAAATTTGCAAAGTTCAGTTCATGGTGAAAAGTAGGTCAAAGGTCAATTTTAAGGTCACATTTAGATTGCCAGTATATGACTTCCTATTCAAGTTCAATAGTAACTATGGACCTATCTCTGCCAGTTTTGGAGATAAAAGGGAAGCAAAATTTGCAAAGTTCAGTTCATGGTGAAAAGTAGGTCAAAGGTCAATTTTAAGGTCACATTTAGATTGCCAGTATATGACTTCCTATTCAACTTCAATAGTAACTATGGACCTATCTCTGCCAGTTTTGGAGATATAAGGGACTAAATGTTATAATTTTGGAGTTACCTTAATGTGCCATAAATTTCCTACAGAAAAAATTAATTAAAATAAAGAAAAGGTCATTTTGGTCGAAATTCTTGAAATGGGAGGTGCTCTGAAGTTCCAGAAGTTCAAATTTGATGAAATAATGTCATTTTTGACCACAAGTTGTCTGCTTTGCCAAGCCTTATGTTTTATTTTTCCAGAGTTCAAAATTTATTATCCATTACCGTACTGCACATTTTGCTTTCACCACCAATATATACTTTTTGATACAGCGTAGCTGGAAAACCATATGAAATACAAAAAAACGGAGACCACTCTCAATGTTGGGCTTTACATGCTCTACAAAATGCAAAAAAGAATGGGTCTCTAGCATTTATGGTTCCCGAATTAGAGACAGTTTTCAGTTTCGGTATCTTATGGCCGCTACTCCCGTTAAAATGCACCGATTGACCCCAAATTCACGGAGATGAAAGATGACCTGAAGGGTATCATTTTCCAATAATATTATTGGTTAAGTCTGTGTGGTGTCTGAATAACAGCGCAAATAATTTTTTTTTCGTAAAAAAGTTCATTTTTTTGAAAAATTTGGCCTGTTTGACCTTGAAATAAAGGTCAAAAGTCAAATCCAAGGGCATATTTGAAATCTGCACATATGACTTTTGGAAAGCCGTCTGTAGAAATTTTTCCCATAATTCCTTCTGTAGGGTAGATAATTAGCATTTAATTTTGCCATTTTTGGACAAGGGTGCATTGCAATGAATGCCACACCTAGACCCCAATACCGACAAAGCCCAAATTTTACGTGGAACGAGTTGAGATTATAGGTGACCTAAATCCAAGAGATGGGTATGGGGGCCCTTACCGTCTAGGAGGAGAAGCGGTAACGGTAACATGGCGGCGGAGCCGGCGGAACGGACCGGACGGGACTAAAACCATGTGTACCACCAGCGCTAACGCTGGTGGTACAATTATTACCCTAAATGTGAACCGATCATGCCAATTTTCAGAAGGCCTCTCAGTAAATTTAAAGTAAAACAAAAATACGGCTTGGAAGTTATGGGGTGAACATCACCAAAACTGCGCGAAAAAAAACAGAATAATAAGGTAAATATAAACTGATTATGCCAATTTTTTAAAGCAACCAACCTGCCTCTTTACCAAACAAAGTCACTCTGTAAATTTTAAGTATAACAAAAGTACAATTTGGTAGTTATGGGGCTAATGACATGTTGAACAGCGAGAGAAAAGGTGACGGTGACAGCGAGGGACAGACAGACCAATCAGAATATATACAGGCACTTACAGTATCTGTATATAGAAATGACTTCTTGTTCCCCATCAAGTTTCAGCTCCGCTGTACCTCAGGTTGTAAATGACCAGCCACCTCGCACACTACTTTACATCACAATGCAATAGGTTAGAAAACACAATCGTAATATCTGGAGTCCTTAATTATGTAAAGGTTTTAACAATCTGATTCTACAATTGCTGTCATCTGTTTGGCTAAAAAAATTTCATTAAGGGGACATTAATTACCAATGTTTATGAAGAACTGCCAGGTCTTTTTCCTCTTCAGAAAATGTAGCCTCATGGATTAGAACATCACAGTCTTTGCCTAAGTCATAAAAAAACAAAGAGTTAAATAAAATCTTATGAGTAAAGATACATATTTAGTGAGACTTATGTCAAATTTTGAAATCTGTGTACCTTGATCAGTCTTTGGGGAAATTAAACATGTAAGAAGTCACTTCAATTTTTATATAGCTACAACTTACCTAGCGCTACCAAATTGCGAGAATACTCTGCATCCCCTGAGTAAACTAAGCTCCAGTTTTTTTTGTGCCTCAATAACAAACCAGTAGCACCTCTACAATGCCCCACCAGTGTTGTCCTGAACTATAAAACAAAACCTCAAAATAACAAAGGTTCTTATTTAGCAATTTAAGGTTTATTCTGGAGATCCACAGAATATCTTTACTTTGTCGAGTGACCAGAATGCTAACCCTGCTATGTTTTTTCCTGTAAACTTTTTTTTGCTGAAATGCATTCTTCAAGCTGAAAAAAGCAAAATTAGGTTTGGCTGCTACATCTGAGATATTGATCATTTTTCAATATCCTAAACTCTCAGAAGCTGCTTATTTTACATTCAAGAGACGGTGGCAGACAGTGTCATCTCCCATAAGTCCATTTACCACTCCCATGAGCCCCATAGTTGAAGCCTGCTATGTTATATCTTGCAAATCTTTTTTCTTCATTCAATAGTACGGCCATTCCACGAAAAGGGGTACAATTCCAAAACAAGAAATGCAGTGATATGAACTTTGCAAAACTGGAANAGTATCAGTAGTATCAATGAGCATGTCTGTGCCAGTTTAGGAGATATAAGGGATGGAAATTTTGCAAAGTTCAGTTCATGGTGAGTTTGAGGATCAGCAGCAGATGCTTTAATGCACTGTGGGGAAGGCACTTCCATCAATGCAATATTGCAAAAATTTGATTGTATATTTGGGGAAATTGTAACCCTAGATGTTGCATGGGAAAAGTTTTTCTCAGCAACCCCATAGAGTAGTAAATTGGGCTTCTCATAAAAAATAGTCACATTTTGATACGATCAGTAGAGTTGATCCCGAAGTGAAGGACAGAAAAAAAAAACTTCATAAAATTCTACATTTGAAATTTTTTTTTTTGTGGATTGTTTTCAGTCAACATTAAGCATTTATTGAGGCATCATACCATTCTGGGGAAGGTTTTCAGGAATTGATGGCAAGTGCATGTATGGCAGAGTTAGAATTTTCAGGGTCCTGTGAAACTTCTTCATCCCAAGGTAAGCCTGAGTCTGACATTTTCAAGGACTTGATTAAACAAGTAGAAATGTTAGCTTCTGGAATATCAGATTTAGAACACTGATTCAGTTGATAGTTCTCAATGGCAAAGACAAAGATGTGTTAAATATGAATAGGAAATTAGATTTGATGGTATCAGGCATGGAAAAAATTGGCCATTGGGTAAGTGATTTGGAGTGATAAATGAGTGAGTCAATGTGTAAAAATGTCAAGTTGATTGTATGCTTTAAGTGTAATCAAGACGGATATTTCTTCCAGGTGTCCTTTAAACGCACTAGGACCTTCGGTTCCGGGGTCCACACCCTAAATCCAGTAAAGCAGGCCTCAGTAGTTGGTAAAGCAAATGAAACAAAGGTATGCAAATGAAACAAAGGTGTTGATGGCATAGCATGTAATGCTTTCATAGACACCAGTTCAATGGTTTCAGCCATATCAGAACATTTTGTGAAAGAGTGGTTAGGGAGAGATATCCTTTTAAAAGAGCTAATGAATGTAGAATCATCAGGGAGACAGATAGCACCTTACGTAGGATCTATTGAAGTAACTGTGAGTTTGCAGACTTATAACGCCATAAGAGAAATCACATCTATTTTGCTAGTACATGTACTTCCGAGTAGTGCCGCTTAGATCCAAAAGGTGCCAGTGTCAGGCCTACCCAACTACCAGACTCGGCACCAAATGATCCTGAATTCACCAGTAGATCAGACCATACTACCCGTTTTCAAGGTGTGTGTCAGATCGCATTACACAGTATCATACCCTGAACAAATTTTGAGTGGTGATGCAATGCTTTTCAACCCCGCTGAGAAACGTCACTATCACATCGCGTACTAGGCAAGAGCGGTGTCGCATCTGATACTGTGTAATGCGATCTGACACACACCTAGAAAACGGGTAGTGTGGTCTGATCTACCGGTGAATTCAGGATCATTCGGTGCCGAGTCTGGTAGTTGGGTAGGCCTGAGTGTACATAAGCACTAAGACTTTGTGCTATGGAAAGGGTGGGGAGGATGATAGAAGGAAAAGAGAATTGCTTACAAATTGTTGGGAATTGGCGTACAAATCAATGGACATTGGTAAGGTTGGAAGTAAGCATTCAGTTAAAATAAATACAAGCGAAACTAAAATAATTAATGGGATATGTAAAAGGGACATTATAGTGAACAATACAAACGCAGTCCTGTAACCAAGTGATCGAAATCCCAGGCCTGGGGGTTAGATAATGCACCCTTGTTTAGTAAGTATGAAAGGTAGACCAAATGAAATACCTGTTATTACAATAGTTATTACAAATTTCTCAATACCAAGAAAGTCCATTTTATGTAATGTCAATAGAGTGTGCAAAGTATCATCCATGCTCAATGAAAGTGGAGATTCCACTAGAAGTTGCGACCGTCTTCGTGCTCTGAATCAGTTATTAGGCGGATATGATATGTTGGAGAGAACACATTTAACTGATGCAGAAAAAAGGGAAGTAGACCAATTGCTTTATGAATATCATGACGTTTTTGTGAAGGGTGATACTGACATCTGTACAACAAATTTGGTCAAACATAAAATTCGACTGACAAACCATACTCTCTTCAGAGACAAGTACAAGAGAATCCTGGAAGGTATGTATGATGAAATTAGATATGAATTAATAACAAGGCAGCAAAGCTGTCAAATGTACAGACAAAATAGGCTACTGTCAATTCTGATGCAAAAGATGCATGGTTTTTCTTAAATGGTCATCATGGGAGCAGTGCCTAAAATAGATTTTTTTCAAATTTTGATGCAATATAACATAACATTTAAGAGCATAATGACCATCAATTTTTAATAATAAAATATTAATATCATGGATATTCAGAAAATGTGACTAGCAAAGGTCTTCAGGCCCATGGAACTTCAAAGTCACAACTTGAAAATGCCAAAATGTAAACAAGACAGCACTGTTCTGAAATGTTTTTTTCCATTTTCAACAATTTTTAACATAAAACAAAATTAACAGTTTACTGCTATTTTTATATGATCAACTAGGAAAATTGATGAGATGGGAAAAATATCAAAAGAGCAGTGTTAAATGTCCAATTTCTTCCATTCTGAGATACTGAACATAGTGAATGATTGAACTGCAATGATATGAGTTTATTTCCATTTTTGAAACTTTATTACACAATACACNNNTAGGCCTGAGTGTACATAAGCACTAAGACTTTGTGCTATGGAAAGGGTGGGGAGGATGATAGAAGGAAAAGAGAATTGCTTACAAATTGTTGGGAATTGGCGTACAAATCAATGGACATTGGTAAGGTTGGAAGTAAGCATTCAGTTAAAATAAATACAAGCGAAACTAAAATAATTAATGGGATATGTAAAAGGGACATTATAGTGAACAATACAAACGCAGTCCTGTAACCAAGTGATCGAAATCCCAGGCCTGGGGGTTAGATAATGCACCCTTGTTTAGTAAGTATGAAAGGTAGACCAAATGAAATACCTGTTATTACAATAGTTATTACAAATTTCTCAATACCAAGAAAGTCCATTTTATGTAATGTCAATAGAGTGTGCAAAGTATCATCCATGCTCAATGAAAGTGGAGATTCCACTAGAAGTTGCGACCGTCTTCGTGCTCTGAATCAGTTATTAGGCGGATATGATATGTTGGAGAGAACACATTTAACTGATGCAGAAAAAAGGGAAGTAGACCAATTGCTTTATGAATATCATGACGTTTTTGTGAAGGGTGATACTGACATCTGTACAACAAATTTGGTCAAACATAAAATTCGACTGACAAACCATACTCTCTTCAGAGACAAGTACAAGAGAATCCTGGAAGGTATGTATGATGAAATTAGATATGAATTAATAACAAGGCAGCAAAGCTGTCAAATGTACAGACAAAATAGGCTACTGTCAATTCTGATGCAAAAGATGCATGGTTTTTCTTAAATGGTCATCATGGGAGCAGTGCCTAAAATAGATTTTTTTCAAATTTTGATGCAATATAACATAACATTTAAGAGCATAATGACCATCAATTTTTAATAATAAAATATTAATATCATGGATATTCAGAAAATGTGACTAGCAAAGGTCTTCAGGCCCATGGAACTTCAAAGTCACAACTTGAAAATGCCAAAATGTAAACAAGACAGCACTGTTCTGAAATGTTTTTTTCCATTTTCAACAATTTTTAACATAAAACAAAATTAACAGTTTACTGCTATTTTTATATGATCAACTAGGAAAATTGATGAGATGGGAAAAATATCAAAAGAGCAGTGTTAAATGTCCAATTTCTTCCATTCTGAGATACTGAACATAGTGAATGATTGAACTGCAATGATATGAGTTTATTTCCATTTTTGAAACTTTATTACACAATACACCATAACAAGTTTACCATCATTTTTACATAATCAACTAACAATGTTGTAAAAATGTCAAACAAACACTTTTACATATATTATTAATTAAATAATGAAACTGTTAACATGCCTAAGAATTGAATCTGAGGAAATGTGAAAAAACATTTTCGAACTGTGAAATGTGAAAAGTTAACCAATTAGATTTCAAATTACACAAAATCATTACGTTTTTGCATCTCTGTCTTAATGAGACATGTTACCTCTGTAAGCCCAAGTGTATTTGTGACATGTCTTTGAACTAATTGTTTTCTTACACGCTGTCGGTTTGAAACCCAATACTTGTCTGGCATGAAGTCATTTGTGGAAAACAGCCTAGAAGAAAAAAGACATGATTCAGTAATCAAAAATTGCACAAAAGAAAATGAATGGTACCTTTAAAATAATAGCATTCTCCTTTAATCTTTGTAAGCAAATGTGTTTGACCACGTAAGTTACTTTCATATATTTGTTAGTGCAGACTGCAATCAGATATCAGAAGGAGGATTTCGCAGATAATTGTCCAATATACCGTCTTGGTGTGGTGTTCCTGGTTGTACAGGATATCAAGTAACCACACTCAATGTGCATCATTTGCTTAGTAGATTAATATAAATCATCATCGGAGAACAATGTGTAAGAAGCACAATGTTCCATCATTTTAAAAGCACACACCGTGTTTTTTTTTTTTTTTTTTTTTGAAAGTTATAGTTTTTTGCACATTGGCTTTTTTTGCATATTGGCATTTTCAACATGGGGACTTGGCATGAAGCCCTATGGTAGCTATGTTTTGTGAATATTCATAATACTTATAGTATATCATAACAAATTGGTGGTGATTATGCTGTTAAGCATTATGCAATACTGCTTCAAAAATGATGAAAACGCTTTTTTTGGGCACTGCCACTATATTGACCATTTCAAGTTGTGTTTCAGTCCCATGAATCTGTAAGTTGTTATGTGTACAAAATAAGGTTTTCTGCAATTTTGATGCAATCTTACATAATACTTAACAGCATTAAATTTTGAGATTCATGAGATTTTGAGATTTTAATTTCGCTTGACCAATTTTTTACCTGTGTATCACGTTTTGTTTCATATTCATATTTTTTTTTGCAATGCGCTGCTTTGGCATTTCAGAAAATCTTTGCCAGTAGGATGTAGCATGACCAATTATGTCATGTGTAATTGGGAATCTGCCTAGTTCTGCTTTAGCTGCTATATTACTGGCATTGCACCTCACACATAAAATGTATTTGCAATAGTTATTTTGTACTACTTCGAATGGCAAAGTATTCATGTATTTAAGAGATTTTATGCTTTTAGATGCAATTGATGGTCCCCAGATTTCGCATCCGTACATCAGTTTGGGTTTTATAAGGGCATCGAAGAGTTTTAAGTGTGTCTGGGTCATATTGTGGGTGGTGGACTGTAGAGCTTGCTTAACTGCAAAAACCGCCTTCATGGCTTTACCTTTCAGATCATCAAGTGCGCTTTTGAATGATCCATTCGATTTGAATTTTATCCCTAAATAATTATATTCATGTGTTATTTCTATTGTTTGATGGTCTATTGTGAAATTCATGTTTGGTTTTTTGCCTGACTTACTAAATACCATTACTTTCGTTTTGTTGGTATTGACTTTGAGTTTCCATTTTTTGCAGTAGTCCCCCAAATTGTCAAGACTTTTTTGTAGGCCCTTTGCAGATTTAGATAGAATAACGAGGTCATCAGCATATAAAAGGTGACTGATTGTAGTGTTGGCATTTACTTTTACGGGATCACATGTGCCATTGAATATATTTTTCATATCATCTATGTATATGTTAAAAAGCATTGGACTCAAGCTGTCACCTTGCCTTATTCCTATATCTGTCTTAAAGTAGTTTGTGCGTCTTTGGCCAATTTTGACGCACAGCTCTGTAGTTTGATACATGTGTTTTATTGTTCTATAAAAGTTTCCTCCTATTTTTTGTTTTAATACTTTGAGGAATAGACCTTCAATCCACACGCTATCAAATGCTTTTTTAAGATCTATAAAACATGCATATAACTTATTATTCTTATTGATGAATTGGTTAATAAGGCTGTTTAGAATGAACATATTATCTGAGGTTCTATATGTAGGGCGGAACCCTGCTTGTTCTTTAGAAAGACATTCACATTCTTCGATATAGGAGAGAAGCCTGGTATTTAGAATTGAAGTGAAAAGTTTTCCTAAACAGCTGCTTATACAAATTCCTCTGTAGTTTTGTGGGTTCAAGGGATCTCCAGACTTCAGCAGTGGCTTTATCATACCTTTATTCTAAAGAGAGGGGAATTTACCACTACCTAGGATTAGGTTGAATAGTTTAGCCAGTGATTTAGCTATGAATGCGGCAGACATTTTTAGCATTTCATTAGAGATTGTATCTTCTCCGCATGATTTTCTGATTTTCAGAGCTCTGATAGCTGATTTAATTTCCTTGATGGTTATGGGGTAGTCCAACTTTTTGTATTGTTCTTGGTTTAAGTGTTTTTCTAGGTTGGCTAGACTTTCGTGTAAGTTCTGATCATTTTGAGAGTTTGACTCTCACCTAATTTTTTAAAGTAGTTGTACCAAGTATTGGGCTCAATGTATTCCGATGAGTCACTTTTCATTTGCCCCTTCAGTTGCCCTATGATTTCCCAAAATTCTTCAGGGTTTTTATATTCCATGTGTAATAGGTTGTTCAAAATATTGTTTTTCATTTGTTTCTTTTATATGTACAGACAGGTTGCATCTACCAGAGAGATTAAGCTTACAGAGAGACCATACAAATAAAACCATTTTAGTCTAATTTTGCCCCTGAATCAATTTATATCATGATGGTTCTAGTGCAGCAAAGCAGTTCAAAATCAACCTGGTAGATGAACATATAACAGCAAAAAGACCAACTGCAATTAACAGTTTAAAAATATTTTTGTTTCTTAGGCCACAGGTGAATATTTCATACTCACTCAAATAAACTGTTTATGTCTTCAATAAAATCTTCCCCAATTGTCTGGATCCAAGGACTCATAAATCTTCCTGCAATCACCATTACAGGCTCTACTTCCAGCCCTAACCTCTGAAGAAGATTTCTGCGTTGAAGGAGTACTGTACAAATACCCTGCAAAGAAATAAATGTTAAACAAAGCAGAAAAGTTGTCAAATGTACAGACAAAAAACAGAAAATATTAATGCACAAAATATGTTACTGTCAATTCTGATGCAATAATACATTGTGCTTGACTGAAAAGTTAACATTAAATTGTAATTATGCACAACAGGTAATGCCAATGTAAATAAAATATGTAACAAGCATAAGAATTCAGGCCCATTAGAGTTCAAGTTCACACTTTGAAAATGCCAGATTGAGAAATAAACTGGACATCAAAGCCGATAAATTACAGACACCATACAGGAAACAAGGCAGCAAAGCTGTCAAATGTTCAGATATTACATAGAACAAAGTGCACAAAATAATGTTTCAGCCAATTTTGATGCACTGTTACATAATGCTTTAAAATAGTACAATCATTCATACTCTCCTACATATGTACTTGAGGAGACATAGATATTGAAAACCTAGCAAGTGATTAAATTCCATGTGATATTAAAGCAATAATAACTCTTCCTTTGAGATTCAAAATTCCGCAAGAAATACATTGTAAACAACGCATGGAAATATATTCTATTGCATTTTACCACTAAAACGGTCACTATTGTAGTAAAACTAAAATCTGTGCTTGTCAATATGGCTTTCGATGCCTTTCTTCCTGGTCGTTAAGGCAACCGTTGCCAATGACGTTTGGGTGTCACGCGGATTCTTGCATTCATTCGAGACCAAAATAACATCTGGCACCAAACGCCTGATGCAATACGCAGATGTAAGTTGCGAGTTTCTGTACAGTGCGTCAGATAATGAATAGTCCAGAATTGCACACATTGTAGATATAAATGCATTTTGAGCAATAAGACAAATGTATCTTATGAATCTTACATTATTGTTACATAGTGCTGTTGATGTCTGCTTTTCCCGCCGTTTTAAGTAGGTCACCAGAAACTATCGCTTGATATCGCGTGACTATGCAATGACAGAGAGGGCTCCGTCAGTTAAAATCTCTTAAGAGATTAGGAAACGTTTAGGAAAAAAACCCTGGACTAACTTTGAATGCAGGAATGGGGTTGTTGACCATTGGTAAGTACGGGAAAATTGTCGTTTACTCCAGGAAATCCAAATTTTTGGCTAAAACAAAGAGTTATTATGGCTTTAAAGGCACTGAAAATGTTGTGTGAAAAAAAAAATTACCAGTACATTTAAAGTAAAACCAAAATACAGTTTGGCAGCTATGGGATGAATGTCACCAAAATTGTGCAAAAAAAAAAAACAACAAAAAACAAAATCATTACCATAAATGTAAAACCCATGCCAAATTTGAGCAGTATGTTAATCCTATGAACCATTCTTGCAATTTAAAAAAATAATAACTAACAAAGTTTTCTTTTCATAACATTTGTGGTGGTGTAACGTGACTGAGTGTCCCCCATGAATGAGTCCAGTCACTGGTGGTACAAATAACCCATTTTCTTTCATTTTTATGTGATCAACTAACAAAATTACTGAGATGGGAAAAATATCAATACAACAATTTAAAAGTGCCCAACTTGCTATATTCTGAAATTCAGTGAAGGATTGAATCTGACAAACTGCAATGATATGAGCTTATATCCATATCTGTCACTTTATTACACAATACACGAAAACAGGTTTACCGTTTTTATCTAATCAACTAACGAAATTTTTAAGATATAGGAAATGTCAAAAGAATACTTACGTATCTAATTAGTTCAATAATGAGACTGTTAACATCCCTATGAATTAAATCTGAGGAAAAACCATGCACTTACATACAAAAAAGGCATAACTTTATCAAAACTTAATGGATCAAGCTTATTTTTTAACTCGATCTGTTTATTAGTCCTATGAATCAGTCATTCAAGTTATTTAGCAAAAATATGACATGGTTCTCATGTTATCACTATAATGGTGGACTATATATGCTGAAAAAAAGCAGAAAAACAGCATAAGTTTTGTAAAAATGGTCCGATAATGATTTTCAAACTTGATCTATATTTAAGTGACTGATCACACCTGTGAGTTTCCACACAATACACTTATCTGTCTTCCTTGAAATGTGTTATCAGTGTTTCAAATATGCTGAAGACAAAAAAACTTTTGAAAATATAGACTAATCATGCTGATTTTTGAACTCGATCGGTATTTTAGGAATATTTACCAGTTCCTTAAGTTTGAAGACAAAAGGTAAAATGGTTTTCCAGTTATCGTGTTATCACTGAAAGTGCATGGCAACAATGGTGAGGACAACAGCGGGGACAGTGACAACAATAAAAGAGGCAGGTGACAGTAATATGTACAGACACATATCTGTCTGTGCATAAAAAACAATTAAGCATCCAATAAGTAAGAAGTTATATATATATATATATATATATATATATATATATATATATATATATATATATATATATATATATATATATTATATTAGAGATATGTGCAAGTAAACACTGCCTTTACTACTTATTATTATTATTATTATTATTATTAAATAAATAAATAACATACCATGTGATGGTCTATATGCAAATGTGATATGTAGATAGCCTTCAGTTTTGCCATGACATCTACTACTTTATCACCATAGAAACGAACAAGTTGCGCATAAGTTCCCTCTCCACAATCTAACAGGATGCTTTCATCAGAACTGAAGTATAATGACATTTATTTAATATTGTCAAAAGCATGTATGGACACAGTAAACTGTTTAAAAAGTAAAGGAAATAGGAAGCTTAAAGGCTGTTAGGTATTTGCCATGGTATGTCATGTAACAAAATAATAAACTAGATAAATATGAATAGAAACCATATGCTGAAGTTTATTAGCACAAAAATAACTTCCATTTACATCCAGATTTAGAACATGGTCATCAAATGTCCAGTTTATCAGCTGAAAAATGAGTCTAAAAAATAATTAGAGCTACAGGTTGAACAAGGTAGCAAAGCAGAAAATAAAGATGCAGGAAATAGGCCATTTTGTCAATTTTGATGCAATAATAATAATAATACTTATAACAGCACACTCAATGAACACTAAATTTAAATGCACAACAGGTAACATGCTCAATAAGATTCAGGACCAAGAGAATTTAAATTCACATAAAGAAAATCCCAATATGTGAAAAATGATGACAATGCATAAAAGTATTACATAATGTTTAACTGCATAAACACCAAAACTATTGCTTATGTGGAAATACAGAAAATGTGCAAAGCTTCAGGTAAATGGGAGTTAAAAGTCACATCTTGAAAATGCAAGTGGTTGAAAACAAAACTTAACATAACATAACAAAAATATTCCAATAAAGCTGTTATTCAAACTTTTAATCTATCTGTATTAACATGATATGAATAGCTCAATGAGTTTGAAGATATAAGGCACTGTTATTCATCTATAGCATTAATGTTGGTATTACACAGAATAGTTTTTTCTTTGGTAAACTTATTTGCAATATTAAACAGCATTTACCTGCATAATTATCATTGATTCCTAATTATGTGACGCTGTTAATTTAGACTTTCACAAACTGTATTTGGCAGACAGCTAAACCTATGGGAGTTTATAGTGTAATCTAAGGCTCTATTCCCATAGATTTTAGATCGATCTATCCCCGCGGGGAGTCTCACTAGATTACTTTCAGATAATCTGACTTAAATGTCCGTCCCGCCTACTACAAGCTGTAAGGGGGTAATTAACTTTCGTGTCCGCCCGGCTGACAGGTATTTAACGTGAACCCCCAGGGAGTTAGGTCGATCTAAAGTAGGTGATCTAATTTATGGAAATGGGGTGTAATTTAATCACCACTTGAAATGTAATTAGACAAGTAACTTAATACCTCTGAACTTAGCTAGTGATTACCCAAGAGGACAATTACAGACTGACCACTCTTTGTATCCATATAGCACCAAAGACTATGTGAAAAATAAAAAATTCATAAAGAATTGCATTGCTTCCAAAACAAAAACAAACACACTGATCTTCCAACATGAGCTGCACTTCAGGCCTATGAATCCATTCAGTAAGTTTGAGAATCATAAGTAACATGGTTTTCCTGCAATGGTCATCATGGCAGCAGTGCCAAAATAGGGTTTTCTTCAACTTTAATGCAATTTTACATAATGTGTAACATCATTATGACCATCGATTTTTAATAATAAAATAAAGGTATCATCGGTATTCAGAAAATGGGACTAGCAAAGGTCTTTAAGCTCATGGAGGTTCAAAGTCACACTTTGAAAATGCCAATACATGAAAAATGAAAGCTTCACAAACACCTGTATAACTTCCTAAAAAATTAACCAATCAGACTTGTTTTCCAGCTTAAGCTGTATTCAAGTCCTATGCTTCTTTCATGTAAGTGTGAGAAGGGTAAGTGGCATATTTTCCTTTAATGGTTACTATGGCAGCAGTGCCCAAAATAGGGTTTTCTTCAATTTTGATGCAATATTATATTATGCTTTCACAGCATAGTCACCAACAATCTTTAATAATGCACTGTAGATAACATGGATATTTAGAAAATGTGACTAGCAAAGGTCTTCAGACCCAAGAAATTTCTCAGTCACACCTTGAAAATGCCAATATGTACACAATATGTAAACAAGCAATCAATGCACTGAAATGAGTTTCTTTCCATTTTCACCACTTTTACATAAAACAAAATCATCAATTTACTGTCATTTTATATGATCAACTAAAAAAATTGTTGAGATAGGAAAAATTTTAATAGAACAATTTTGAAGTGCAATTTGATCCATTCTAAGATTCTGAACATAGTGAATGATTGAATCTGACAAACTGCAATGATATGAGTTCATTTCCATTTTTGACACTTTATTACACAATACACAATAACATGTTTACCATCCTTTTTACATAATCAATTAACAATGTTGTTAGTTGATTATAGAAACTAACAATATTGTTAAGATGCAGAAAATGTCAAAAGAACATTTTGACATGTTTAATTAGTTCAATAATGAAACTATTAACATGCTTAAGAATTAATGTATGACATAAAGTTCAAGGTAGGAAAATATTACACCAATCAGTTCAGCAAAGAACTTATGATATGGCTTGAAAAGCACAGACATTTAAAACACAAAAAGTTTTAAGGTTGACATGGTTCTGAGGACCAGCCCATAATTCTGAACAGTTGGGGTTGTAGGCATTACAGCATAGTGTAGTATCAAAAGACAATTTTAACTGTATCTCTTATCCTTGGTGTTGTGGCACAATAGACAGCATCTAATTTCATTTTCATTTGTTGATTTCCTCACCTAAGATGCACTAAAATGCTGCTGACATTTCTCCGCAAATTTGGTCGCGAGGCTCCTGTTCCAAGAAAAATAATTTCTGGGAATTCTTTCTTTTCTGTGATTCCTAACAATAAATAAATAAATAAATGAATTAACCTATATCAGATAACAAAGCTGTCAAATGTACAGATCAATATGTCACAGAGCTGTTTAAAAATCAGCAGGTATCTTATGAAATATTGAGAATTATTCTAATATTATAACTCAAGGAAATAGTATGCTTCATGGAATATAGGCAAAGGAGAATGAATTGAAGATGAAATTTATTGAAGGTGTTTATCTGCTCCTGTAAGCTTGAAGTAATACAATATTCTGAAGTTGACCATGGCTTTTTTAACAAGGCAGCAAAGCTGTCAAATGTACACACAAAAAGCAGAAAATAAAGCTGCACAAAATAGGGACAATTACAGACTGACCACAGGCTGACCACCCGTTGTAGCTGTAAAGCTCCAAAGATTATGTAAAAAATTTCATACAGAACTGCATTGCAACCAAACAGAAAGTAATCACACTGATTATTCAACACAAGCTGCACTTCAGTCCTTTGAATCTTTTCAGTAAGTTTGAGAATCATAAGTAACATGGTTTTCCCTTAATGGTTATCATGGCAATAGTGTCCTAAATAGGATTTTCTTCAAGTTTTATGCAATATAGCATAATGCTTAACAGCAGGGTGGCCATCAATTTTTTATAATAAAATTATCATGGGTATTCCATAAGCTTGAAGACAAAAGGTAAAAAAGTATTCCACGTATCATGTAAACACTGGCCCACCCTGCCTCTTTAGCCACCCAGTAAATTTAATGTAAACAAAAATATGGTTTGGCAGTTAT